ATCAGCCCCCCCCCCCCGTCCAGATTACCGATAAATAAACGGGGGCGAAAGAACTGCAGCATTTTACATTTACAAAATAAATTCTAGGGCCTGAAAAAAAAACTCAAGTCTCGAGAGGGGACGAAGGTAAAAAAATTATTTGGTGCGGGGGTACAGTTTCTGGCTCATTGGTCAGGGAAACAAATTCGTTACGACGTATTCACGACGTCGTCCCCTCAAGTTTTTCGGTATACACCGTATTTAAAATGTTCGAGTTTTTTTTTTCCCTCGAGAGAACGACCATACCTGAGGGTATATATAGCAACAGTGGAACAACGTCGATTCTGTTATCTTCAGGATCAATCGAGCTTCCTTATTAACGGGTGATCGGACACCGTTGCTGTAGGTAACCTTATGGCCGATTTTTTTTTCAGGCTGATATCAAGACGAAGTTATAATTAATACCCTGTTTATTGTTGGAGATAGAAGAATGTAAGAGGTTTGTCCCGTGACAAGTGGTCAATGGACATGTCTTTAATCTATTGAGACGTAAGGGTCGTGGGTTCGAACCCTATCTCTGTCGATTTTTTGCATTTCCTCAAATTATTGTTAAGGTATATCCCTAGAATACAGGTTTTTCATACGAGTGTCCCCATATTTTTCATAGATAAGGTTTACAATATTCCTCAGCTATTGAAAAAAATTCTAAACAGATTTATAAATTGCGGATTCATTGGTTTTTTTTTTAAATTTTCTAGTACGTAATTTCAGCGATATTCAACTCGAAAAAATTGAAATTTCGTGAAATAATTTCTCATTGATTTAAACAATTAATTAACAAAAATTTTCTTATTTGTTTCAAACAGTTATTGTTGCCTTCACCAAGGACATATGAGGCTTGAAAAACTCAATAACTGAAGAGAAGGCAAAAAATTAAGTAATTTAGATTTTTTGCCGGAAATCCGTAGGAGTTAACTTTTGAGTGGTATTGTCTTGGAATATACCTTAAGGTATATCCTTAGAAAACAGGATTTTCTCACGATTGTCCCCATTTTGTTCATAGACAATGTTTATAATATTCCTCAGATATTGAAAAAAATCTAAACAGATTTATAAATTCCGAATTCGTTGATTTTTTTGTAAAATTTTCTAGTGCGTTATTTCTGCGATATTCAACTCGAAAAAATTAAAATTTCGTGAAATCAGGTTATTTAATTGTTTGAACCAAATGAGAAATAAGTTCTTGTGTGTTTCAAACAGTTGTTGTTGTCTTCATCAACAACATATGTAATTTAGAATTTTTTCCGCAAATCCAAAGGGACTAACTTTTGGGTGGCATTGTCTCGGGATATACCTTAAATCCAAAAATATTCTATTGAATTTTCCCTTCATCATCGGACAAACGTAATATCCAGACTGATCGATATGAAGTTGATATCGAGACGAATTTATAATTAATTCCCTCATCATTATCGTAAATTGAAAAATACAACAGGTTTGCCTCGTTACAAAAGGCACCTTGCTACCATGCACTAGTTGTTGAATCCCAGCCTCCCACTAAATATTGCTTGATATTCGATATCCAATCCCTCTGGCGTTGAGCCTGCATCGGGCTAGATAACCCTAACCTCGTTATAGATGATAAACCACGATCTCGATTTACCTTTTACCGCGTTAGGGTACACCCCGAAACGAATATGCAACAGAGTCAGATGACTAGCGCGTTAACCACCAACGCCAACTGGCATTAATTGCGTAATCGGTGGTTTACACGAGGCCACTTGTTCATTTTTCCTCCCATTTTGTTTAATCCTTTTATTATTAATCCTACGAGGAAAAAATCTGGGTGGAATACGAGAATAATTATCGATTGGAAAGCAAGTCTTGGGCGCTGGGGGCTAGGACCACTTCTTCCCATGAGTCTTCGTCTATTGATTCTGCTTGTGGGGATTCATCCGCGTGTTTTCGTTTTTCGAAAGCTAGAAGTTCATTGTTGAGGTCTTCATAGGTCTCTTCTATTTCGTACGCTAGTTTCAGGGACTTTGATCTTTAAATTAATCACGAAATTCGTCAATTCTTTAAAAGGGAAATTAATGGGAGGATTAGGGGCCCTTCAAGTTCTGCATAAGCCAAAGTGGAATATTATAGCAATATCAAAATTGATTATATTAGTTTTCCTTTAAGGATATCCAAGTATCTTTTACAGTTTGGCTCAGACCATTCTATAGATTCAACCAATTGAAATCATCAAATTTGACAATTAAATTGCGTGAGAAAAATTAAGAAAAAATTATGAATATTCAGCGCCATTAAAATTAAATTTTGCACAAAATAATTATTTTTCAAAGCGTTCGTTGTTTATAAATGAATAATTGAAATTGTTTAAACTTTCGGACACCTTATTTTTTTAAGCATTAAATTAATTTGTGGTAAAATGCTGAGTATGAATAATTTGTTGCGATTCCAAACAAATGCTTTTAATGACATTTATTAATTTTCAAAAATTGCAATTTTTTAATTATTTCATCAATCTTCTTCCGAAAGTAAACTTTCTAATTTTTTTAGATTTTTCAAATGTTTTAATGTTTTTAATGTTACTTGGATATCCTTAAGAACGGAATTTAATCCTTCAGAACGTCTACCCCTTGAGAGAAATTTTTATTCAATTCTTGAGAGAATTTGATTTACAAAAAACATTGACCTCTGACTTTTGCAAATATGTGACCGCCCAAACCTTTTGACCCTTAATCTCACTGGAGCCCTCAAAAAAGCGGGGAGAAAGGGGACTGAGATGGCAAAAAAATGCATTTAAAATCCTTGAATGACCCCTCAATCTGTCGATGTGAATTATTACCCAAACATGCGATTCTTAGGGCACTTGGGAGGGCCAGAGCTTGAAATTTCCCGAGTTTTCGAGGCCTCAGGGCCTGTTCCAACCTCAAATTCCTCAGTCTGAGTGGATTTCCTCGCCTCTTCACGTCTCTCCCTCTTCATTTCTAATCCACCACCAGAATCAACAATGAATAATTAACAAATTTAATTCTGGGGACTCACCGGCTGGCGGGACGTACGGCTGCAGCTCCGGATGCTGTCCGATGAACTCCCAAAACTCCCTGATTTTCTCTCGTTCAGACGCCTTTCCACTTTTCACAAACACTAATTTCACCGCGTAATCACTTTTCTCCTCCATGATCACTTTTCACTTTTACACTTCACTCACGATTTTTGAAATTAAATGTCCGGGAAGAGGAAGACACTCGTGACATTACACACACTCCGCGCCATCTTATGTATTTAATTACACGTCGATAATGACTTCCGATACACTTCACCACTTCCACAACTCCAAAATAATCCACGAAAAAATTTAATGATTATTAATCAGTTTAATTAATTATTAGTGTTCTCCTCAAGTTTCAATTAATTTTCCATTGATTAAAAAGTCAATAAATACGACAAAATGTATAAAACACTCGTCTCTCTGTCAGGAATTGTACAGCAGGCGCCATCTTGTGACGTCACAAAAATGTCGATCCCTTCGAGGCGACAGAACTATCATATTTTTCCGTGGAAATTTAATATTATTTTTATTGTGCGTAATTCATCGAAGTAATCGTCAAGTTCCTCATAAAATCGTTGGAGTTCATGATTATGAATTATTCATCGCATTATTAATAATTATTTTTATGATTTTACCCTCATTTCCACCGAAATTCCGTAGAACAATCGTCAAATGCACTGCGTCCCGCCAGAAACTCGTTCCCATCTTGACTCTGCGCGGAGTTGCTGCGCAAGGGATTCGTTTGTCTCAACTTCTATTTTGTTCTAGTGCTGGCAATTGACGAAAATTCTCCTCAAATTCATCTTCAAGTCGTTTCTCTCCATAATGATTAGTTAAGTAGAGCAGTTTTAGTAATTAATTCGATGGTTTTACCCTCTTTTTCCGCGAAAAACCGGAGACAATCGTCAAACAGGACATTCAGTGCCAGGGGCTCGCCGCCATCTTGAATGTGCGCGGAGTTGTTGCGCAAGGGATTGGAGATTTTCAACTTTTATTTCGTTCTAGAGCTGACAATTGACGAAAATTCTCCTCAAATTCATCTTCAAGGCGTTTCTCTCCATGACGATTAAATAATTAGAGCAGTTTTAGTAATTAATTCGATGATTTTACAGTCTTTTTCCGCGAAAAACCGGAGACAATCGTCAAACACGACATTCAGTGCCAGGGACTCGCCGCCATCTTGAATGTGCGCGGAGTTGTTGCGCAAGGGATTGGACATTATATTAATTTTCATTTTGTCCTGGAGCTCGCAATTAACGAAAATTCCCCTCAAATTCATCATCAAATCGTTTCTCTCCATGATGAATAATTAATTAGAGCAGTTTTAGTAATTAATTTGATGACTTTACCCGCTTTTTCCGCGAAAAACCGGAGACAATCGTCAAACACGACATTCAGTGCCAGGGACTCGCCGCCATCTTGAATGTGCGCCGAGTTGTTGCGCAAGGGATTGGAGATTCTCAACTTTTATTTCGTTCTAGAGCTGACAATTGACGAAAATTCTCCTCAAATTCATCTTCAAGGCGTTTCTCTCCATGACGATTAAATAATTAGAGCAGTTTTAGTAATTAATTCGATGATTTTAGAGTCTTTTTCCGCGAAAAACCGGAGACAATCGTCAAACACGACATTCAGTGCCAGGGACTCGCCGCCATCTTGAATGTGCGCGGAGTTGTTGCGCAAGGGATTGGACATTATATTAATTTTCATTTTGTCCTGGAGCTCGTAATTAACGAAAATTCCCCTCAAATTCATCATCAAATCGTTTCTCTCCATGATGATTAATTAATTAAAGCAGTTTTAGTAATTAATTAGATGATTTTACCGTCATATTTCGCGAAAAACCGGAGACAATCGCCAAACTCGTCGTTTCCTGCCAGAGACTCGGCGCCATCTTGGTCATGCGCAGTGGGATTTTCGGAATACGAATTATTTCACGAGCTCTGACACTTGTAAAACAATAAAATAAACTTCAATTAGACCATATTATGATTGTTATTGACTGATTACATGTTTTATTTTCAATTCTTCAACTGTTCTCGATAATTATTTCGCCGCTTTCGCACGCAATTCCCCAAAATATGTCGATAAAGAAGAGAATTCTCCCCCTTCCGCCCTTTTTAATGTTTCATCGGTCATTATAATGCCCTTTTGACATTTTCGTGTATATGCCCAACATATTTAACATATTATCAACTCAAATAACAATTATTCAGTACAAAAAACGGTTCAACAATTTCGTGGAGTCTCCGGCCAGTGGATTTTTGAATCAAAAAGTGAAAGAATTGAGTGATAAAATTATTCTCGAGTGTTTACAAAATTCTGGGGTTGATAGGTTATATCCCCATCAACAAATAGCATCAAAAACCTCCTAAATCCTCGAGAAATTAATTAATAAAGAATGGCCCACTACAAAGGAGCAGCCAGCGAGGCTGGGAGAGCGATGCAGCTGATGAAGAAGCGAGAGATCGCCCAGCAAGAGATAGAACTTCGTAAAAAGAAAATTGAAGACGACCTCAAAATTCACAACATTGAGAATAAATTCGCCACTCACTATAATGCAGTTGAGCAGCAATTGAAGACCTCGACGATAGGTCTGGTGACCCTGAATGAGATGAAAGCGAAGCAGGAGAACATTGTCAAAGAACGAGAGCGAAAATTAGCGCAGAAGGAGAAGGAGAAGGAGCAGGAGAAGGAGAGGGCACTTGCGGCTAAACAGGCTGAGAAAAATAAACAGAAGAAGCAGATTCAGGCACTGTCATTTAATCTTGATGAGGACGAGGAGGAGAATTCTGGGGGGAATTCTGAAGACGATGATTCAGCACCAGCAGTCAAGAAAATTAAGAAGAATCCACACGTGGACACGAGTTTCCTGAGGGACAGGGAGAGAGAGGAGGAGGAGAACAGATTGAGGGAGGAATTGAGGCAGGAGTGGGCTATGAAGCAGAATGCCCTCAAGGAGGAGGAGATTGAGATCACCTTCAGCTACTGGGATGGCTCTGGACACAGGAGGAGTGTCATGATGAAGAAAGGTAAGGGTTTATTATTGTTTCACTCGTCATTCAGTGGCGATGTGGCAACAGGAAAAAAATCAAACTTGACGATTTTGTAATTTCGTTACTAAACTTGGACGATTATATCCATTGAATTCATCACTAATGGGTACTAGTTCGCACTGTTGGCAGGTAACTCGATCTATCAGCTTCTCCAACGATGCCTGGAGGTTCTGAGACGAGAGTTCAGTGAACTCAAGACTGTCATGGCTGATCAGCTGATGTACGTGAAGGAGGATTTAATTCTACCTCACCACTACACATTCTACGACTTCATCGTTACAAAAGCGAGGGGCAAGAGTGGTCCTCTATTCACTTTTGACGTTCACGATGACATCAGGATGGTGCATGATGCCTCGGTGGAGACCGAAGAGTCACATGCGGGTAAAGTTTTACTGAGGTAAGTCAAAAATTCATATTTCCCCCATTTATTGAATAAAAAAAGGCTCAATCACAATCTACTTTCATATTATTTTTAGGTCATGGTACGAGAGAAACAAACACATCTTTCCAGCGAGCAGATGGGAGCCCTTCGACCCAACAAAAAGCTACGACAAATACACGATCTCTGATAAAAAGAAAAAAGACAAAAATTTGTAATCGTAATTTTCGTTTCCTAATATTAATTAGAATTGTCTTTGTAATCAGTGTTCAATATATTTTGCATCTCCTCGTTGATGAAATAAGGACTCGACTCTTTGTCATCAGAAAAATCCTCAAGTAAATCATTGATTCGTTCCTTCTCCTCGTCTGTCATGTTGATTTCTTCAGGATCAGCTCCAGAATCTTCAATTTTATGTAAATCGAGAAATTTAGCTGTATTTTTGGACAGAACTCCACACTCTGGCGGAGCTGACGACAACATGTCCCTCAGTCTCTCACGATTTTTAACCTGTTCCTTCGAGAGATCTTCGTTTCCTTTCTGTAATTCAAATAAACATCATCCAGAATTTTTTCGAAAGAAAAACAAGTGGAATTACCTTTATTTGCAGCTCCAAGTCGTAGATAGAAGCATCCAGCTCCTCGATTTTCTTCATTTCTTCCAGAATAATCTTCTCGTCCTCTTCAATTTGTGAATTAACTTCGTTTTTCTCACTCATTGCGTTCGTACATTGAATTAATCCTGAAAATTCCAAGGATTTCCAGTCTTATGGGAGCATTTCGGTGGCTTCGACCAATCAATTCGTTGCCATGGCGAAAATAATGAGGGGAAAACACCTGTGAAGCACTGTACAAATTTCGAAATCAAAATTCATCACTTTCATGACCCAAATTCCATTAAAAACAATTTAAAATATTATAGAATTGGCAATGCTTCACAAAAACAATAAAATAAAGGATTCAAATTACCCCTCATTTCTCCTTCTGTAATTTAAACAAACATCCAGAGTTTTTTCTTTTTTTTAATTAATGCATTCAATTAATAATAAAAATTCTGAAGATTTTCAGTTTCAATGAAAAAATAATGATTGGAAAATTAATAATAAAAATTCCTAAATTCCCGTAATAAAAATTCCACGGATTGTCAGTCTAAAGGAAAAAATAATGAGTGAAAAACCCCTCCAAAATACTGTAAAAAAATTTTAATTAAAATACATCACAAATTTAATTACAAAAATTCCCTCAGGAAGAATGTAAAATATACAATTCTCAATTCTCTCTTAAAAAATAAAATAAAGTATTAAGATTCCTCCTCATCCGATTTACAATTATCCACCTCGATGAGAGGATTCATGTACGTGATGTTCTCTGGAAAATGATCCAGAATAATGAATTTCTTCTCGCTGGGCTGACTGAGGTCATCTACGAAGCCAAACCAGTAGATAACGAGCCCAGGGCCAAACCTGTTCCAGTAGCTGAGGTACTGCTCCTTCAGATGGGTCTTGTGGATCGAGGGGGTGCCAAATCGCGCCTTCGACTCGATCCAATTGATGATGAAGCCATCAACAGCGATGGGAAGCTCCAGCTTGACATCGGGGGTCTTGTCGTACCCCTGGGTCTTCAATTTCTCCTCCGTCAGGTACGGGATATTCCTCTCCTCGAGATAAGTCTCCAATTTGACTTCGTACTCGAAGCCAATGGCATTGCAAAATGCGTCTGATATCATTCCATTCCTGTCGTCATACAGAATGCACATGTAGATTTCGTGGGCGAGTCTGGGGTCTTGGATCTGCGTCGTGTCCTTCATGCATTTGGAGACGTCTCCCTTCGTGATGAGGGGATTCGTTTCCTGGAGGTATTTCTCGAGGATTACACGGGCTAAGAGAGTGGGGGAGAAGTCCAGGGCCGCTGCCATTCTCACGATTATTCCGGGGGGCGTGCCTGGCTTATTTCTCTCTGTCATGTATTTTTGGAGATAATTCACTCTGACTGAGTGCAGTCTTCCCCTATTTTGCTTCGACTTTAGCTGCATTTCTGAGGAGAGTATTCCGTGGATGGCAGTTGGGGGAACACTGGAAGAATCAAATTCAGAATTGATTAATGAGGGATGGCAGAGTGGTGCAGGTGATGAAGAATAGAACCTCGTGAAAAGAAAATTGAAGACGACCGGAAAATCCACAACGTTGAGAATAAATTCGCCACTCACTGCAATGCAGTTGAGCAGCAACTGAAGACCTCGACGATAGGTCTGGTGACCCTGAAGGAGATGAAAGAGAAGCAGGAGAACATTGTCAAAGAACGAGAGCGAAAATTAGCGCAGAAGGAGAAGGAGAAGGAGCAGGAGAAGGAGAGGGCACTTGCGGCTAAACAGGCTGAGAAAAATAAACAGAAGAAGCAGATTCAGGCACTGTCATTTAATCTTGATGAGGACGAGGAGGAGAATTCTGGGGGGAATTCTGAAGACGATAATTCAGCACCAGCTGTCAAGAAAATTAAGAAGAATCCACACGTGGACACGAGTTTCCTGAGGGACAGGGAGAGGGAGGAGAAGGAGAACAGATTGAGGGAGGAATTGAGGCAGGAGTGGGCTATGAAGCAGAATGCCCTCAAGGAGGAGGAGATTGAGATCACCTTCAGCTACTGGGATGGCTCTGGACACAGGAGGAGTGTCATGATGAAGAAAGGTAAGGGTTTATTATTGTTTCACTCGTCATTCAGTGGCGATGTGGCAAAAGGAAAAAAATCAAACTTGACGATTTTGTAATTTCGTTACTAAACTTGGACGATTATATCCATTGAATTCATCACTAATGGGTACTAGTTCGCACTGTTGGCAGGTAACTCGATCTATCAGCTTCTCCAGCGATGCCTGGAGGTTCTGAGACGAGAGTTCAGTGAACTCAAGACTGTCGTGGCTGATCAGCTAATGTACGTGAAGGAGGATTTAATTCTGCCTCACCACTACACATTCTACGTCTTCATCGATAAAAATATCAAGCTCGACGTCTTTGGAATTGTGAAATTATCATGTCTCGAGGGGTTGTAATAGAAAAATATTGTTATTCTTACTCTGGATATTTGTGTATCAGCATGTAGGCGCAGTCCCTCGACAATCCCTTGAAGTTCTTTATATTCTTCACGATTTCTTCGTACAACTGGGGCTTCATCTCGATTATTTCTCCTATTTAATCACCAAAATAATAGAAAACAATCAACTCTGTCTCCTCTTGTTGTTGTTTCTTCTAGGTTAGGTTCCCCAGGATGGCCCGGCGGTGGCGCCAGGAACCTCCAACCCCTTCTCTCGGTAAAACAGTCACCCCAGGACCGAGACGACCGCTCGTTGCGTCACTGACAGTCTTAAATTGTTGATCCACTGTTCATCTCAGATAAATAAACGAATAAGTGCCTTGAATCTTGCGCTGACAAGAGCAAAATCCTCCGGTAACAGTCTCAGGGGCTCACTGTTCCACCGTGAAACAAGGATGAGAGAAGAATCCCAACATCTCAGAGAGTTCCGTTATAACTAACCTGCTCAAATCTCTTCAATTCTTCGACAAGAAAAACATGAATGTAAATATTAAGAGTTCGTTGATGCTGGACAGGAGGATTCGGATCGAAGGTGATTAATCAAAAACTCGAATAACCATCCATGATAATGAATATGAATGCAATTTTATCCTCATCGGAATTTAAATGGAATTAAATGTCTCAATGTCCATTAATAACAATATCCTTACTTCATACTTTGTCAAGTGGACCCTTTTTTTATCGCAAATGTCTTGAGATTGGCAGAGTAAAATGTCAATATTTTACTCTCATTTTGAAGATATTTTCTGAGACTTCAGCATGAGCACTGACTTATTCAAATCACTTGGTTTGTCTAGAAGATATTGACAAAAAGGTCAATTGCTCTTCAGTTAGTAATTTCCCAACGAATTTGAAATAGTGCAATTTGGATCGTGAATATCTCGAGATTGGCAGAGTGAAATTTCAATATTTTCTTCCCATTTTGAAGATATTTTTCGAGACTTCAAAATGAGCACTGACTTATTCAAATCGCTTCGTTTGTCTAGAAGATATTGACGAAAAGGTCAATTACCCTTCAGTTAGTAATTTCCCAACGAATTTGAAATAGTGCAATTTTGATCTTGAATATCTCGAGATTGGCAGAGTGAAATTCCATAATTTTTTCTTCATTTCGAAGATATTTTTCGAGACTTCAAAATGAGCACTGCCTCATTCAAATGGCTTCATTCGTCCCGAAGATATTCCCAAAAACATCAGATACCCCTAAACCCTCAATTTCCCATCAACTAAAAAATTATTCAATTTCAATTCAAAATACCACGCGATCAACAGAGCTAAATTCCCCAATTGTCTTTCATTCTAAAGATACTTTCCACGCCTTGAAAACCAGTTCTAACCCCCGAAAACGGTCCCCCCGCTTCCCAAAACATCACCGACCCCGTAAAAATGTCCCAAAAAAAACTCCAATAATTTTCATTCCCCCAGAGAACGGCCTGCTGGAGGACCGAAGACCGGAGCGTCACCCCCCGGAGCAGAGTACGCCGAAGCGCCCGAAGCCCCAATCGCAAGATGCCCTGACCCAGGAGTACCGCACGTCCCCCCTCCTCCTGACGCAGGACACGAACAACGAAGTGGCGTGGGACTGGCAGTCCCCCCAGACAAAGACAAAGCCAAAAGCCAAACCCGAGGCCTCGAGCACCCCCAAGCGGCCCCGCCTGGTCCACAAGAAGCGCAACTCCAACTCCCCGCTGGTCTACAAGCCCTTCAAAAAGCGAATAATAAAAAGAGAGGACAGCGCGAGCCTGGACCAGTGGAAGAACGAGTTCCTAGCCCTGAACGCCCGGATTGAGACAGTGGCATCGCACGAGTCGTCAACGGAGAACGTCGAGCTGAACGAAATCGCGGACGAGTTAGTTTTCGACGACGATTTCGAGAATGAGAACGACGTGATAGTGATCACAGACTCGCCAGACGACCCAAAAATAACGAAAGTCGACAGCAAAGAGAAGGAGAGCCTCGAGGATTTGTTCAACGACTCGTTGAACGACGAGTCGATGTTGCGGTGTTCGCAGGAGATCGAGGCGAAGTTGAATATTGGCCCGGCGAGGGGGTCCTCAGCCCCCAAGAACCCCCAGAAGCCCCCGGTGTCGGCCCCCTCCCCATCAGCCTCGAGATTCAAGAAGCACAAGTCAGAGCCGATCGACAAGAACCCTTCGAGAGACCTGGGAGCTTCTTCGAAGGATTTCAAGGCGTCTGACTTCATTGACCTCGACGACCTGGTGTTCCCCGATGACTCGTTCGATGACCTGGTGAAGGCAGCATGCGCGACGACAGCCAAATACGAGGACACGACGACTGGAAAGCAGAAGGAGGAGAGATCGGAGACAGTAAGCGTTGGCAGTTCTGGTTCCAGTGGAGGAGGCAGTGGGAGCGGCCACCAGAGGAAGGATTTTCAGGGGAAAATGTCGGCGAAGGGGACCTCAGCGGTGCCCCAGAGGGCGAATATGCAGAGAGGGGGGTTTAGTGGGAATAGGGGGGCCCCAGGGACGCAGATGGCTTCCGGGAACGACAGGAGATTCTTCAAGTCTAGGAATCGCTCGGACTCGAGCTTCGATAGTTCAAGTAGATTGAGTTCAATGAACAGTTATTCTGGGTTTAGTGTTGGGGCTAGAGGCGGTAAGACAAGCTCCACCTCCGTAAGTACACAAATGATGGATTTAAGAAGGACTCAATCCGCTATTGATCGAAAGAATTTTTTTATGACTAAAGAAAACAGTAACTGTGGAATTAACAATTTTGACAGATTAAGGGTAAGAGACGATGGTAATACTGTTGTCTCGAGTGGATCTTCTAGGAGTCAAGCTCAATGCACGCCTGAGGAGATCGAGAGGAAGAGGATTGAGGCGAAGATGAAGCTCGAGGCCAAGAGAAAAATGCAGATGACACAGAATTCAGTTAAAAGGTGAGGGAGACGGATTCTGTTGATTTTTCTGATTCGTTGGGACTCGTTGCGTCTGGAATAGGACGCGAGAGGATAAGTGGGAGGACGAGAGCTTCGAGGTGCCTGTGAAATTGTCAAGTGTGATCAGAGTGCGGAGAGGATTTTGTATTAAAATGTAAACATGTATAATATTGTTTTATATTGGAGAAAAATATATGAATTTTTTGATATTTTTTTGTAATTTTATTCTCCGATGAAAAAAATAATCTATTATTTCGTCATTAACTGGAGATTAATTGGTCCTCATGCGTATGCTCAATCGATTCAATTTCATTTCATATTTTTCCATCTCCTATGAGTATTACTTCCACTCGTGCAGATTCCACGCTGTAAAGTATCAATTTACAAAATGTTGATGCAAAAAGTAATAAAAAAATTTCCAACCACCTACATCTCTCAATTATTCCTCTCTCCACTGCATAATCCACTATTTCTTTATGGCCGTTCGTGCATTCGAATGCAAAGAAGCATCCGCAAAAAAATGAGAGAAAATCAACGGACGAGTGTTTCTACGCGGCAAGTAAAAATATCCACGTCTCGTCAGACGTGATGAGATCGCCAATATTTTCCGTTAAAACGAGGAGAGAAAAATATACAATTTCTACCCGTGATCGTGATACCAATATCCAGGTGAGTTTTAAAATGATGGAAAGACTGTGATGAAATACGAGCGAGTACATAGTGGTAAGTCTGCAATATTCTTCCCTCTCGTGTTTCAATCATTCTTGCTCAAGCCCGAATATCATATTTTTCATGCGGAATATGAATCTCATTGATTTTTTTAGCGGCAGTGTAACCCAGATATGGGCTTATATCCAAGCATGAATTCATGTCCAGACCAGAATTCATGACCAGACATAAATTCCTGTCCGGACCTAAATTCATTTTCAGACAAATCAATCCTCAAATCTTATTCTATGTTTAGACATGCATTTATGCCCGGACATGAATTCCTGTCCAGACATAGATTAATCCCAGACATAAATTCCTGTCCGGATCTGAATTTATTTTTAGACAAATCCACCCTCAAATCTCATGTTCTATTCAGACATAGATTTATCTTCGGACCTGAATTTATGTCCGAACATAAATTCCTGTCCAGATCGGAATTCATTTTCGGAGATAAAGGGACGCTGAAATTAAATTTCATGTTCAGTCATAGATTTATGTCCAGACCTGAATGCCTGCCCAGACTATATATTCTTGCAATGCCCTGAATTCCTGTCGAGACCGGAATTCCTGTCCGAACCTGAATTTATTTTCAGGCATAAAATCATGCTCAAATCTACATTTACGTTACGACATATATTTACGTACGGTCCTGAATTCTTCACCAGACATAAATTCCTGCGCGGACCGGAATTCCTGTCTGACGTACCAAAAAGGCTCATCAACCCACGTCACATAAAAAAAGACTGTAACATCGTCTTTTCAAAGCTCACTAGTCCGCTTCATCAATCAACCCCTTACGACTATAAAACCGCAATTACCCTCTCCTCAAAAAGATTAATTAATCCCCGGAAATTCACCCCGGATTCCCACCAATTCCCATTTCCTTCCAATTTCCACAGTAGCCAAACCCCAAGAAGAAGTTTCCCCTTGACCTTATGCAAATTACCCCAGTCTCAAGTGAAAAAAAAAAACACTTCAAGTGTCTGACCCAGAAAATCCTGGTCGTTGTCCCATTCGAAATTCCGTTCTCGCACTCAGTAGCATCTGTCGTGTATCATTGAAGTACAGTGTACCAACATTTGCACGTGGTAGACGGGAGGGGAGAGCACGTCCCGCGTGCCCCCCACTGCGCATGCCCCTGGAAATAATAGGGGTTGTGCGGGGCTCTGGTGGGAGAAACAAATGTTGGAATCAATATGGCGTATGACGTCACGCGCGCGAACGAGTGAAAAGAGCCGAGTCTGGTCGGACCATTCGGCTCAAACTCGGATACAACTGTTATTCCTCGGTTGGAATAAAAAAAAAAATATAGTGGGGAAATATAAGGGGGCGGGGGTGGGGGGTTGGAGTTGTCAGTGCGGTTGGTATTTTAACAGTCAGTCGGCAGTCGGTCTCGGTCGAGCATGGAGTCTGCACGTGCATCAAACATTAATGTCGACCTTGCACTGTGTCATTCACGTATACAAGAGATTAACAATGATGACGATGACGACGAGACTCATAATAAATTGTGGGGCAATTGTTTAGGGGTGGGCCGAGTCAAGATGATTGATATATCATTTTTTAACATGATTTTTTTAATTTTATGTGTTATTTTGATTAATGGGGGAATGAGGGTGGAGGGAAAAGCTGAAATTTTTACTAATGCTTTTCTCGTTAAAATGAAACAACCCGCGGAGAGGAGTATCGCTGATCGTGTTGCTGTGAGAAATGGATTTGTTAATCTTGGACCGGTGAGTTGATTAATTATAACTACTTGTGATGGTGCACCGGAGTATTTAAACACCTATTCAATTTATCTGGCCCACTAGATTTTTTAATAGTCATTCACTTGGGGGATGAGCAGAGGGAGGGGGAATTTTTGTTTTGGTTCGCATGTTTTTTCGTTCTGCTGGCCAGCTGTTTCAGGGCTCTCACCGCTGGACAACGTATGACCCTTGAGTGGAGGGCGACTGGTTATTTTTTACGCAATTGTTGAGTTAATGGAAGCCTCGGGGTGTTATGAGTCGTCCAATGGAATCCCTCGGTCACAGACCCTTATATCGTAATATCTTGTTGCTCGGGGGGTTGTTATGCAATCTCAGTGTTCACGGAACTAGAAATCTCACAATAGATTCCAGCAACGGATTGTATTATCCCTCGGGTCTTAGGAATGGTTATTCAATGTCTGGGGGAGGGCTTTGTGAGGGAGAATACGAGAATCTGGAGTTGATGGCAGTGGTATTGAGATTTTTTTTATGCGTTTTGAGGGAATATCAGTGTGGGAGGACTATTCTATGGGAAATGTTTCTTATTATTGAGGGCTTGACACGAATTTTAGATCTCGATATGAATTTATGTCTGAATAGAAATTTATAACGAAATATAAATTCAGGTATGAATAGAAACTCACATAGAAAATTTAATTCAGGGCTGAACATAAATTCCGGAACATTAATTCAGGCCCGGACAGGAATTCATAGCTTAACATTAATTCAGGTCCGGACAGGAATTCATATCTAAAGATGAATTCAGGTCCGGGCAGCGATTCCGACCGCACATGAACATGAATTCCAACCCGGACAAAAATTCATGTCTGAACATAAATTCAGGTTCAGACATGAATTCAAGTCTGCCCATAAACTAATGACTCAATATGAATTTGTAAACAAAAATTTAACTCTGGACATGAATTTATGTTTGGACATAAAATCAGGTCCAATCAAAAATTCCGCGTGAATATAGACGCGATGCACCTCCCACCCCTAGTTAAATACAAATGACAAAATAAAATCATAAAATTATTGTAAAATAACAGAGCAATTTTTCCAGTAGCGATGTTTACACACCTACTCAAATGTAGATCATTATTTACCTGACCCCGGACAACTGCCGTAAATACTCGTACAATAGTGGTACATTTTACGTGATACAGAATTGTTGGTATTTTCCTGTTATACAACGACAGAACTAATTTTCATACCAATGAGAAAAGTACTGGGGGGGAAAATTGCTGGATGATGAGGCTACGGGCCAGAGCCAGCCAACTTGTTCCTCACTTATTTCCTTTCCTTAGCTCATAGACAAACGAAATTACGCTATTACCATATACATCTATTTTCATCATCACTTTTACTCAGATAAATCTTCACCCGTGTGAAGTGACTTGGCCCGAGTTAATGTGAATGTTTTATCAATTCATATTTTCCACTACAGAATTAATTTCAATTCATTATGCTCTGTATTCGAACATTTTAATGAGCTTGGATTATTAAAAATGTCTACCAATTACTACAGCATCTGTGGATTTATCCCCGGATTCGTCAGGAGTTTTAAGGGGATATGAAAAACATCATTACCATGGCAAATAGTGGCACTGCTGAGTGAAAATGGGGCGCGTAAATTGTTTTACCGTTTGATAGAGAATTTCCTAGGTTGGCAGGTTTAATTAATTGATCGTTTAACGCGCGGAAACACGATTATCAGTTCAATCTTAGGAGTTATCGATTTATTGATAAATCACTGATTTTGAATTTAAGATTTTCATTCAGGTCTGAATATGAATTAAGGTTTGAACATGAATTCTGGGGCGGACATGAAGGCATGTACCTGAATTCAGACATGAATTTATGTCTGCCCAAGAATTCAGGTTTTAGGGATTGATTCAGGTCTAAACTTGACTTCAAACGCAGACATGAATTCATGTCTGGACCTGAATTTAGATCCAGACAGGAATGCAGGTCTGGACGTGAATTCAGGGTTGAACCTCAATTCAGATCTAAACCAGAATGAATGAAGCCTAGATATGAATTCATGTCTGGACACAACCTCAGGTCGGGACAAATAATTCAGATAGATTAGAATCAATGAAGCCCAGACATGAATTCATGCCTGGACAACGACAGAAATTCACATCAGAACACAAGCTCAGGTCTGGACATGAATTTATGTCTGGAAATAAATCCAGACAAAAATTCATGTCTGAACATGAAATCCTGTCGGAACTTCTGTCTGAACCTCATAAATCGAAATAGGATCCATAGAATAAAATGATAATCCACTCGCACAAAAAATTAATAGCCCAATGCGAGGCAGAAGAGTTTTTATCGAGGCTAATGACCCCGAGACTTCACTTAGCAACTGCCTAGCCCGCATTCACGACGTACCGGAGCACATGTTCGACGACCACTTACCGTTATCGCCACATATTTCGAGAATTTATACATTCAGAGTAACGATCCCGCACTCGTGTATTTCTTATCACTTAAATCGAAATGAAATTCTCAAACTCACCCTTTAACCTCTCGTTCTGCCGTTATCGAGCGCAGACAGGGAGTTCCAGGCAATTCACCGGATACTTTGGCCTCTAATGAATGAACTGAAATAAAAATATTTATTTTCAACTTCATGTCTTCGTGGGCGACTAAAGCCCCCGGCAAACTGCCAATTCCGGGGGAATTCATTTCCAATTAGAGAGAAGTAAAAATATTTATCCATCTGTTTTCGATTGTTCAATTTTCCGATGAAATCATTGTTCTGTTTTTCAGTTTTAGCATGTGCAAAAATTTTCTTTTGTCAACAGTCACGTTCTCAGTTGCATTTGTAAAGCGCGAGTTGATTTAATATACCCAAGAGAGATGTAAATGGCTATTGAATGGTGAATTAAGGGGCATTGAATCGCGAAAAGATACCTTTTCATTCTCATCACAGTCACTCTTTCTTATCTCACTTTTTTCATCCTTTTATGTTTTTTTTCAACCTCTTGTTGGCTATCCCGTTTACTACGGCATTCTCATCGATTCTATCGGTCTACTCTCGCCCATGGTGTAGGTATAGGAGAAAGAAATTCAGCTTGAGGGAGGGTCGAGGTATATAACTCACGTATTGATGGGCTATGTTGGGCGCTGAGTTTCGATGTCGATCGTTACGGCTTCGTGAAAAGATACAGTGGAGAGAAAGTTCAGGGGCTATTCTGATTTTTTATTCATGAAATTATCGATGATTTTATAAGCCATTAAATTATTATTATTGCTACGGCGAATGGAAATGCAAAAGAATTTAAAGTGGGGCTTTAAAAACATTTGAATATTTCAATATTATTTTTTCAAAGGATTTAAATAGGAGAAAAAAAATGTAGAGTACTTAATGCTTTGTTATTCATGGAATTATCGATGCGTTTATAAGCCATTGAATTATTATTATTGCTACGGCGAATAAAAATGCTTTGAGATTTTTAAAATGGGCTTTAAGAATTTAAAGTGGGGCTTGAATAAAAATTCGGATGTTTGGCAATTATTTTTTCAAGGGACTTAAATAGGAAAAAAAACATCTAGTGTACTTAATGCTTTGTTATTCATGGAATTATCGATGATTTTATAAGCCATTAAATTATTATTATTGCTACGGCGAATGGAAATGCTTTTAGATTTTTTAAATATTTTTTAAGAATTTATAAAAACCATCTAGAATACTTAATGCAATCATAAATCAAAGGCATCACGCCTCGACTGTCTCCACAAGCTAAACTTCTCCGATTTTGATACATCGTAACAGTTAGGGTAACTCGAAGTTGTCACCGAAGCAAACAATTGTTGCAAAAACTCTCCCCCAACAGTTGATCCCCCCCCTCCCCCCGCTGGTGCATGTTCTACATTCCGGATATCCGTTGAAACCCCTGGAGATACGAACTTTTGGAGGACCACCAACTGAGCTCGAACTTTACCTTGTTCCAGGTGAAGCCTCGATAATTTTATCGGGGAGTGGTTTATCCTTGGCCCAATGGGAATCCTCCTAGTATTCATTAGGTTGTCGGTTGTTTGTTCCAGGTACTTGGTAGCGAGACGGAGTATCACTTTATTCACAGAGCATTGCCACATGCGAGAAGCAAGAGATCAGTGCCACACATGAGGAGACTGAAGATCGATCCTTTGGTGAGGGATTTTTACATATTCTTGGCTTGGAGAATTATAAACATGTCTGGACATGAATTCTCGTGCATGTCTGAAAATGCATTCATGTCGGATAATAAATTCCGGTCTGGACATGAATTCCTGTCGGAATATAAATTCCTGTAGGTTCATGAATCCCTGTCTGGGTATGAATTCCTGTGTCTGAAAAGGCATTCATGTCGGGTAATAAATTCAGGCCTGGGCAGGAGTTCCTGTCGGAATATAAATTCCTGTAGGTTCATAAATCCCTGTCTGAAAATGCATTCATGTCGGGAAAAAAATTCAGATCTAGACATGAATTCCTGTCGGAATATAAATTCCTGTAGGTTCATGAATCCCTGTCTGGGTATGAATTCCTGTGTCTGAAAAGGCATTCATGTCGGGTAATAAATTCAGGTCTGGGCAGGAGTTCTTGTCGGAATATAAATTCCTGTCGGAATATAAATTCCTGTAGGTTCATAAATCCCTGTCTGAAAATGCATTCATGTCGGGAAATACATTCAGATCTAGACATGAATTCCTGTCGGAATATAAATTCCTGTAGGTTCATGAATTCCTGGAGAGCGGTGAATTTCTGTCGAAACATAAATTTATATCTCGACATGAATGTATGTCTAAAAAAGAATTCCTGTCTGAAAAATCCCTGGAATTTCACAGTGATATGGATTATCAACAATTGCATAACATTTTCAGGCAGATGCCACTCCCCTTCATTAAATTTTCGACATTTCTTCCTTTTTACCATTATTTTGATGAGTATTTGGACGGTTCAATGTGTTCGGCTCCCCCCAAACATCTGGAATTCCGATTTGAAATATTTCCAGCGCCCCCATTATCCTTTCCAAGTATGGTGAATGCAAACATTGTTATCCTCGCCTGTCCGAGTTATTTTCGTTATTTATCCTCCCTCCATCGGAATTTTCGATTGAAGTTTCATTATAACGGATTCCATCCTCTCGGAAACTTCGGCCATTCAGGATAGCAAGTTGCATTGTATTCAAAGAACTGAAGTTTCCTTAATACTTTTATCGGGAGCCCAATAACAGGCTTTGGAGAAGCTGAATAGTCTACTTACTTCAACTCCAGAACTATAGAAGACTTTAATCCTGCAACAACAATTTGCCACTGAAATATCACAATTTTTTTCATCTCTCAGGTGCACACAGCGGTACAGCAGACGGGATTCAAGCGCGTGAAGAGGGGCTACAGGCCATTATCGGTGGACAATTTAGTCCCTTCTTACGACCAAAAACTGATGAAGGAACAGGCGAGTCAGGATCCAACTGATCCGTACTTTCAGTACCAGTGGTACTTGAAGAATACGGGACAAAATGGTGGTAAACCCAAGTTGGATTTAAACGTTGAGGCCGCGTGGGCGCAGGGCGTCACTGGTAAAAATGTCACTACAGCTATTATGGATGATGGTGAGTCCAAACGATTATTTCTTCATAAAAAAAATTGATTACACCTTTTTTGTCTCCCATCCATTTCGTCAAATTATTTCATCTTTCGATTTCACGACATTATGATGGAATTTTTCAGTATTTTCACAGGTGTAATAATTTTTTTTCGGAGTGGATTGTAGAGAAATACCTAGCGAATTTGCTAGAAAATTCTATTGAATTTCTATTGAATTTTTTTTTCTTTGGTCGATCGCATTTTGCGTAACATTTCGTTTTCAGTTGGAATGTTCAATGGAAAATATTCTACAGGAAAAATCGATGTAATTATATTTTTCCCTACAACTTATTCCATTGAGATATTTTCTACAGAAATCCCACGGTTCAGTTTTTCCTATTTTTTTGGCTAATTTTTTCAGTGAAAAAAAAAGGGAAAATGGAGCGGAAATAACTTGGAAAATTCATGTCCAGGAATTCCTGTGGAAAATCTCTCAATAAAAACAGTTGCATAGAACGATAAAATTCTACTGATTTTTTCTATAAAATAGTTTCATTCTGTACAATTAGACTTCCTTGTCTTGTTGATTCACCCATGTCCACGCCGAATTTCATTCATATTGACCTGACATATGCTCCAATAGCTATAATAAAGCTGATCGAAACACGATCGGAGGTTTAACGAACTCATATAATTCATTATCAGCAAGAATATCCCCTATTGAATGAATTTACAACGCTCATTACGTGACATTTATCCCCGGTTTAACGTCACCGGCGTAGGATTCTATGCCATCCCCAATCGTTACGTTGATAACGACACGAGTAAACACGTGATAACGAGCATAACGAGGATTACCTACGAACGATAAAGCCTGATCGGCTTGGTTTTGTATCATTTACTTTTCAATTTAATCGGATCCCCGGGATCAGCGGGTTTATTTCATTCGAGTAATGAAGGGATTTGAGTAAATGTATGGCCAGACGAATTACCTTCCGATGTCAGTGATTCATTGAATGCGATGTTTGGAGGAATGGCCTCAATTATTCAGCCTCTGTCGACGTTTTTCTACTTTAAAAATAATTTTTTATGTTTTGTTAAACAACAAAACATGAAAAATCATTCCTTAAAAATATTTTTTTCAAGATAAAATGGAAAATATGTTTCTTTCATCGCAAATAATGTTTTCTGAGAGTTTATTTTTTATCTCGAGGCTAGCGATAATGAAAAATGTAATTAAATAGTATTTTTGCATGATGAAAAATTTAATAAAACACTTCATCAATTTTTTAAATGAAAATAATATCATATAGAGTATTTTTCTGCCTTCAGGTGTTGATTACATGCATCCGGACCTGAAATACAACTACGTAAGTCCCTAATAAATTATCAAATTGCAATTATCCATTGAAAATCCCGGGCTTTCGCGGTCCAAAGGCCATTACCATAATCAGAGTCTTTGGTATTCAAATGGCAGATAACCGTGACCCTTTATCACCATAAAACACAAACCCGAGGTGAAAATACATTCCCGGAGAAATTCAGACCCAGTTGCTCAGTGGAATGTTAAAAAATTCCAATCCCAATTTACGTTTTTCATTCGCCGTTTGAGTTATAGTTGAAAGCGTATATCACCGAGTTTCGGGGAAACGCTAGGTTCTCGGATTTCTTTTTCCAGTCGGACGAAGATCGCGGAGGGCAGGAAACCAGCCCCAAGAAAATAAATATGTTGATGAAGAAATGTTAGACGTCTATTTAATAGATATTGCGTGCACGAATGATATATGGGTGATGGTCTCATGTCCTCATATGAATAATAAATGCTTTTATACTGTATATTATAATTACATTCAACTAAATCCCTTGACTAATCCCAAAGGCCTTGACTAATCGCGTTGAAAATAAAAAATGAATATAAGAAATAATACTTATCTAGTAGAAATTGAAAAGAAAACAAATTGAAATGAAATTTTAAAAAAATAGTAATTTTTTTTCATGCAATTAGTTGACAAATATATGTACAAAAATATATTTCTCGATAAGGAATTGAAAAAAATATAAAATTGAAACGGAATTGAAAAAAAAATGAGATATTAAATTTTTTCATTGCAATTAATTGACAAATTTGATGATGAAAAATCTAAAAATTGTAATAGAACAAGTTTCATCCGGAAAAATGTTGAAATGACGTGACATCCGAAATTATCTCCCCGCATTAAACCCCGTAAACCATAAAAAATTCAGTCCGACGTGAATTGGTAACAGGAGAAGTTAGGAGATAGCAATTCGACCGGAATTTCCACGAGTCCGTCTCTTCAGGGAGTGACGAAAGACCGAAAAAAGCACGGGGAGACTGACTAACGAGCGACTGCACAACACCCCAGAGGCTCCCTCGAGGTGCCAACGACTGGTCCACTCCAGATCTTTAAATGTAGCCGTCTTTTTCCCCTTATTGCGTCTCCAATCTCCGACCCCTGGCCTTTCTCGAGTAAATTCCAGGGAAATTATTGTGCCTTTTTATTCTCTGTTGACAGAATGCTCAGGCGTCGTATGACTTCAGTTCCAACGATCCCTACCCCTACCCGAGGTACACCGACGACTGGTTCAATAGGTGAGTAACAGAAATTTATTCCGAAGCGAATGAAAATATTTGTTCCACTGAAACCCCTGAAAATTTACTGAGACAAAGTTTTACATAATCAATAAACAATTCAGTCCACGTGTGCACAAAACGCAACAATATTTTTTTCCCCCGACGAAGCCAATGAGAACCGTAGGCGTGAAAAATGTGATATAACCAAGGGGTGGATTGTGAGATGAAAATAAAATTAAATCACGTGTACCGCGTCGATCATTCGTTCAAATTTATTTTCACGGGAGATACACCGTAAAGAGAAAAATTATTACGATGTCATTTTTCTTTTTTCTCTTCCGCGACACGTGTACGACTTGCCCGAACAATGCCCCATTAGCGAAAGAAAAAAAAATTAAAAAGATAAACTCCACTGCAAAGTGAATTAGCTGTTCTATTGAATCGCAAAATGACGACTAATGAATTACTGAAACTAGTTAACAAATTATTCCGACAAGTTTATAATATTTCATAATTAAATTCAAACTTTCGTGATAACGTCAAGAATTTCCCGGTTCTATCGGAAATTCATTCAATCAATACAGTCAGAACTTTATATTGAAAGCTGCCATAAAACTAGGTATATTTAAAATACGATATTCAACTTGAGAATCAAACGCTTCGTTACTGGAGCGTAAAGCCCGCTGGGAAGTGCTCGAGTAACCTTTCTCTCTTCAATGAAATCGTAACCGCGATGAACATTAAGGTGCCATTAAATTTCTATCCCTCCGTCGTGAGGTGGTTGACGTTTATTTTTTATCACCCTGTGGAAAATCTACGGTTCAGGACTCTATATTGCACCGTAAAAGATGACTATCGTCGAATAACATTTTCATGACGTCAAAGTCCCCAGTAACAAGATTGTTTACAAGGGGAGTTTAATCCTTAATAAGTTTATGTTCCGAAAGGTTTTCATTCGCATGAAATTATACTGAATTCTACGTTAATCATCTGATGCTTTACCAGAAATTATCGTTGACCCTTAATTTTGACCCATTTTGACCCTCATAGTTGACCCTCCCAATGGAAAATTAAAGGTCAAGTCGACCCACAAGACCAGTCCTCATGAGAGGAATTTCACAGATCAAAATTATGGGTTTATTAAGGGTCAAATTCTGTGGGTCGAAGGAAGGGTTAAGCTTGAGGGTCAAAAACGAGGGTCAAGTTGACCCACAAGCTCATTTCTCACAACAACAACCTCGGAAATAAAAATCAACGCTTAATCGTAAAACCAAATTCTATAAGTCAAACTAAGGATCAACCCTGAGGGTCAAATATACGAATTAAATGTAAAATTGACCCAACATTCAATAGAATCCTCTGTAAAAAAATTATCCTTCATCCTTTTAAATCGAATAAGCTAAAGGATTTACGTGTCATCTCCGGGAAAAATTCCCATGACTCTTCATAAAACACTTATTCCCCTCGACTCCACATCCCATCAGCGCCTCATGCCACCTCTCGAACGAGCAAATGTCTGCATGTGACATACCATACGCATTACCGATGTCTCATCGACCCTCAAAGGGAAAAACGAAGAAAAAAAATACAACACAAAACGTGGGCGTGCATTGATGTCAAGTTTGCTATCAGAAAACCTACGCGATTATATCGCTCCATACACGGATACCCCCCGAGCGTGCGAGGAATGATGGATGGCAGTCCCTGACGTCATAATTGCCCGTCTCGAAAAAATAAATTGGAAATCTGTCGTCAGTGCGTGTCCATGAAATTAAATTCAATCACCAATTGAATAACTTCGTCTCAATGTTCCTCTCCATTACCCCCCCTGATTTATGGTATTGATTACTCGCCAAACGTATCAACTCGACTGTTGGTGAATCAAAGCACTCGTGACGCTCCTCGGATTATTTGTTGTTCCGACTAAAGCAGCTGTCATTAGTTCAACATAGCTTCTGAAGTTTCTCGTGGTTAGTCGCTGATTATATTTCCAACAAACTCGTGATGTACATCAAGGGGTAATTTTCCGCGTCCGGGTGCAAGACAGGACGTTGAATGAATTTTCCATCAGGCTGACATGAATAAGATAACACCCACCTGCTTTCATACTCAAAATGAAGAAGAAAAAAAGATAGCGCGAGAGGGATTGAAGGATTAAAATTTTACTGAGTCGTGTTCCTTGTATGAATTAAATTTACTCCTGAGTTAACCTAGTTAATTTGACCCTTACGGGTAAAGTCTCATAGGTGAAAAGTGAGGGTTAAATATGAAGCCGAAGCGAGGGGGGGAATGTAAGGGTCAAACATGCGGATTAAGTTGGGCGTATGACCCAAATGGGTCAAGCGTGAGGTCAAATCTTCACGTTAAACTGAGGGTCAACCGTAGGGGTCAAATACGAAGGTCAAGTTGACCCTTTTTACCCTTACACGTCAACTCTCATAAACTGAAATAAAATGATAAGCGTGAGGCCAAAGCGTGTGGGTCGCATTGAGGGTCAAGTTGACCCTCAGTTGGTCCCATACGATTTGACCTTCATACTTGACCCTCTCTCTGACCCTCATCCCTGAAATATCATTCAACGTGAATTCAACGTGAGGTCAAAGCCTACGGCCCGAACTGAGGATCAACCTCACGTGTCAAATATGAAGGTCAACTTGACCCTCACAATTTCCGCGCCATGACCTTCCCTCACATTTCGATCGACGAAAAAGAAAATTAGAGCATCCCCTCCCTAATCCCCTACCACCTTTTTCCTCTTCGCTCGGGTATTGAAGTCTCAGCAACTTTTTACCCAAACCAAAAAAAAAAGCCCCGACATGATTCTCCCGGGGAATACACGGTCTCATGTCCCCAACGAACGACGGACCAAAGAGAGAGGGAGGGAGTTTCCAGAGGGGGCGCCCAGGGGTGTAACGCTTGTCTTACACTCGGCGGAGGACTCTGACGTCAGAGTAGAGCCATTCTCCCCTTCCTCAGCAAATGGTACATAGCTTAATACAAATACTGTCGATGGGTAGGAGAGTTGCTACTTCTTCTTTCTCGTTTTCCCTGAATGCCTTCTTGAGCACGTTGATCACTTCGTTTCCAATGGATTAAACTTAATTGCTCACTGGATCCTCCCAGTTCTCTATCAGATCTTGTCATAATGCATTTCACGGCTAGCTATCAGTTCCGCTCTCCACGAGATTTTACTCCAACTCGATGTAGGATTTAATCACAATGCACGTTTATTTCGAGAGTTTTGCGACGTTATAATGGAGATGAAAATAGTGCATCATCCTTCGCGGCCATTAACAGCGAGTCAATTATTCATTTGCTAATGGAATATTCCTGTTTTATTTTTTCAGCCATGGGACGCGGTGTGCCGGGGAGGTTGCTGCTGCTCGCGATAATGGAGTTTGTGGTGTGGGCGTTGCATATGACTCAAAAATCGCTGGCATACGAATGCTGGATCAGCCCTATATGACTGATTTAATTGAGGCGAATAGCATGGGGCATGAGCCCGATCTCATTGATATTTACAGCGCCTCGTGGGGACCTACGGATGATGGCAAGACCGTTGATGGACCAAGAAATGCCACCATGCGGGCCATTGTTCGTGGGGTCAATGAGGTGAGACTATTTTTCACGATCAAGCATGAAACGAATTTTTCATTTTCCATATCATTTTTTTTCTATTCCATTTATGATGGGCTCTTGGCTCAATCTGAGGGTCAAGGTGACCCTCACATTTGACCTTTTTCTTGACCCATACGATTCATTCTCGAGTGGAATATCACTGGTGAAAACTAGGGGTCAGGTTAAAGGTCAAATTTCATGGATAATGTCGTATGATTGACCCGTAATTTCATCCAAACAATTTCCTTCCTCGTTGACTCGTTCATGTGCGCTTCCTATAATCTCAGCACACAACCCTCCCTTAAAATAAACACCATCACTTGCTGTACATTATCCGGAGTTATCTGAGAATGTGTGGCTAGTGTTGATGCACGAAGGTCGAGGGAGTAAATTTTCACTTGCCTACTTTGATGTGGGGGTTGAGGTTTGTTGCCAAGCAACACCTTCACCGACAATATACGTCAGAGACACTAAAAGGCTTGTGATTATACCGAAATCACATGTTTATTCATGAGGATGGACTCTTCGATTCAGGGTCAAGGCCCCCCATGATGTAAATTAAATATAGCATCGGCTTATTTTCTAAAAATAACTCCACGATTAAATCCAAAAAGTTGTTTTCTTCTCGTCCCATCATTGTTCAAGGATCGATCTCCATAGAGCGTGAACTCAACTCTAATGTAATGCACGATCTTTTCGAAGAGGAAACAACATGTCAGATTTGGCGCCAGTTAGGGCTTCGGAAGTAATGGCGCCACACCCCACCGGTATACCCAATGTCTTGATGCATGGAAATGTAAAACCACCCACGTACCGGCGGGATGTGAAAGTCAGGTTTCGTATCGTGGCTCGTGCGTCAGCAAATGTCCACATGTAACGTTGAATTAGTGAAAAATTGAGGAATCATTCGACTGGACTTGCCCTTTATTTATGTTTCGCTGATCTTCAACAAGTGAGAATAAGCTAATGGATTGGCAGCGTGGGTAGCGTTGGGTAAAACAGACCGTCTCTCTGGAATCTTTCCTTTCTTGTTACTTTCTGTTTTACCCCATTCTACCCCATACGTCATTGGTATATGTATTTCTGACAAAGCAACACTCCAAGTTGGCTGATCATTCACGGCAAATGGGTAATGAAACTCGATGTTCTATTATCTGTGTAATACTTCATACTACTATTGCTAGGTAATACATCCGAAAAATATATGAACATCCTATTAAAGGTTTGGATGTCCCGTAAAGGTTGAAATTCACTTGCAAACGCATCCAACTAAATTGAATGGAACATAATATAAAAAATAGCCACATGGGACCATTTCCATCTACTATAACTCCTTTATAACATTCGTCACAAAGAAATTCAGCCAGCATGATATGATGGCATATATCTTGCTCCCCTTCCTCTTATGAAAGATCCGGTTCACCCATATCTCCAAAACGATAGAGTTTATCACAGCATACTCTCCCCAAAGTGCCCACTTTTCATACGAAAAACCACCTGCTGTGTAAATCTCCCCTGATTGTACCTCATTCATCCAATTTTTCCATTTTCCCTCAGGGTCGCCGGGGTCTCGGTAACATCTACGTCTGGGCATCTGGAGACGGTGGTGAAGAGGACGATTGCAATTGCGATGGTTACGCTGCCAGCATGTGGACCATTAGCATAAACAGCGCTATAAACGATGGCCAAAATGCTCACTACGATGAAAGCTGCTCGAGCACACTCGCCTCGACATTCAGCAATGGAGCTAAGGATCCAAACACCGGCGTGGTAATTATCCAATTTAATGTCTAGGGCCTGGGATTAATGGGGACGTAAGTCACTCGGTATTTTCTTCTTCCCTCAATGTTTCATTCTTTTTTATACTTGGCTTGAGAAATGGGTCTAGAGACGAGTGACGCAGAGGTCACAGTACGTACGGAGGATAATAAGATCAAGGGTCGTGGAATATTCCCCTCAGGGTAGCCCCAGGAGTATAAGGTTATTGAGGATGAAAATCCTTTTCCATTCTCCTGCGTCAATGTTTCATTACGCAGTGGATTGAGGGGTTATTAGGAAAATTGTTGTGATTTCATTTGAACTACTGGAGGCGGTTTAATGTGAAATTCATCGTGAAAATGATGTTTTATGGCGCTGCATGAAAAACATGGAATAACTCCGTGAAAATACTCCTTAATTCCCCCTTTACGAGGCTATTGCCCTCGGATTCCATCTGGCAGCCCCAGATTCTTGAGGATCACGAAGGTCTGAATGAGTTTTTAATAGTCATTTAGCATTCTTTGTCTCAAGATGGGATCCTTAAAAGATGATTAAGAAACTTGGTGATTTTATTTTCACCCCCGAATGATGAAGCAAGCAGAACAAATCGAACAGAATAAATATTTGGGAAATAATCAAGACCTTAATTCCCTCTTTACGACGCAATTGCCCTGGGATTCCATCTGGCATTCCACCCCGGCACTTCTGTCACGTCATAAAATCCTGCAATTTCCCGTGAAGAATCGATCCACCGATTCATTTAATTTTCTCAATTTCACTGGGAATTACCGCTGGGTTTAATTTGAAATTCAAGAATTTCAATGGCTAATTTTCCAATGGTTTTACCAAGCCAACCGCAAATGTTAGATATATCTTGTGGATTCTAGGGTACTGTAGATTCCTCGGTAAAGTGGATATGTACACTTGGGAGAGGAAGCCTCCGTCTCTCGGGAGATTTTACCCGGTGAATCTATGAGTCCTGAGTCAATCATGAAATTCCACTCAATAGGGATTTACATTTCTGATTCCTTTCTGTGATGTATAGGGATGAGTGGCCTTCCCGCAGTTTCTCATTTCACGTCACTCTTTTCTACGAATGGAATTTCTCCTCCTTCGAGTTCTTGTTATCAGTTGAGAGAAGATTATTCTGGTTTTGCGAGGGAATTTCATCACTTTTAGGAGTTTTACGCCATTTTTTTCCGCGTTTTCTCCACGATTTGTGAATTAATCTTTGCATTTTATGGGTTTTCATCGTAAGTCTGTTATTTTTCTCAGGCAACCACCGATTTATATGGAAAATGCACAACAACTCACAGTGGAACCTCAGCAGCAGCACCGGAGGCTGCTGGTGTATTTGCATTGGCTCTCGAGGCGAAGTAAGTTTTGTTTATCAATAAATTTATCACACGGTGCACTCTATTATTCTTAGGTAAATATTCTCCCACACCTCGGGGATGAACTATTCATATCAGCCGGCTATTTCTGATTCTGTCTCACACTCCACAGTTTGCGTGCAGATTTTCCATTAATCGAGCAATATTCAATGTATATTTTTCAGTCGCCAGTAGCTTCTATTTTTCATTGAAATAAAATCTCGTTGGTTTTTTACTCCAATGTTGAAAATATAATTCTAGGTGCGAACATCATCTCTTTTTCCACATTTTTTTCATTTTCACGCGGCCGTTTTACTTTATGATGACATTTGTCGGGGCGGCACCGGAATGCTATCCACATATTTTATTTCCTGGCATTTCACGATGCTCCATTTACAGGTTTCAACTGTCGGGTGTTAAAATTTTTGTTGTTCCTATATGCACTCTTGGGTGACTATTGCAAAACTATTTCGCCATGAGTGAAAAGAATAATGATCTTTTGAGATATCTAAGGGCATTTTACGATTTATAAAATTTACTTGTGAATTTTCATTGCAAAATGATCAAAACAGTGGTAAATTGCAAACGGAAATTTTTTAAAATTTAAATCGTCAAGAATATAAATTATTCAGAAATCAAAATATTCGTTGAGCGCAGTTGGCATTATTTACGAATATCCTGGGAAAATAACGTTTGAGTGCTTCCATTCGCATTATTTTTCATCATGTCGTTTGTAATACTGATTAAACAATAATAAAATGCGTGTAACGAGATATCCGTTCGCACGCAACCGTATTCTCTTTCACTTTACGTGTTATAAATTTTCATTATAAAATGATCAAAACAATATTAAATCGCAAATGCCAAGTGTTAAAAATTCGAATGGTCAAGAATATAAATTATTCAGAAATCAAAATATTCGTTGAGTGCATTTGGTAATTATTTACCAATATTCTGGAAGAATAACATTTGTATTATTCCATTTACGTTATTTTTTATCATCTCTTTTGTAATACTGATTAAACAATAATAAAATCCTTCATCAAATCCTGGTGACGAGGAATCAGAATCACGCCCATTAATATTTTGGAAATGCGTGTAACGAGATATCCGTCCGCACGCAACCGTATTCTCTTTCACTTTACGTGTTATAAATTTTCATTATAAAATGATCAAAACAATATTAAATCGCAAATGCCAAGTGTTAGAAATTCGAATGGTCAAGAATATAAATTATTCAGAACTCAAAATATTCATTGAGCGCATTTCGCTATATTTACCAATATCCTGGGAGAATAATATTTCAGTTCTTCCATTCGCGTTATTTTTTATCATCTCGTTTGTAATACTGATTGAACAATAATGAAATTCTTCATCAAATCCCGGTGACGAGGCAATCAGAATCACGTCCATTAATATTTTGGAAATGCGTGTAACGAAATATCTCTCGCCCCGTAACCATATTCTCTTTCATGATGTTCCATTTGCAGGTTTCAACTGTCGGCTATTAAAACTTTTGTTGTGTCTATTTGAATGTTATATCTCTTTGAATTCTTGTGTGAGTGTTGCAAAACCATTTCGTCACGAGTGAAAGGACTAGTGACCTTTCATGATATCCAAGTGAATTTTACATTTCATAAAGTTTACTTGTGAATTTTCATTACAAAGTGTCCGAAACAATACTAAATTGCAAGTGCCAAATTAAAAAAATGTAAATTGTCAAGAAAATAATGTATTCAGAAATCAAAATATTTTCTGAGTGCATTTGACGATATTTACTAAAATTAACCTTTGAATTCTTCCATTTACGTTATGTTTTCACTATTTCGTCTCTAACCCTGAGAAAAAAAACTGAAAAACCCCCGTCAAACCGTGATATCAAGGGAGTCAGAATTATGCCCATTGACACAATCGAATTGCGTGTGACGAGATATCCCTCCTCACGCAACCATTCAAAAATCCATTTTCTATTTTTATTCCAGCCCCCAGTTGACGTGGCGTGATATCCAGCACCTTACAGTCCTGACGTCCAAGCGAAATTCATTATTCGACGCTAAAGGTCGATTTCACTGGACAATGAATGGAGTTGGCCTTGAATTCAATCATCTGTTCGGCTACGGCGTGCTTGATGCTGGCGCCATGGTGGCACTGGCTAAAAAATGGAAGACAGTGCCACCGAGATACCACTGCGAGGCAGGAGCAGTAATAAATAACATGTAATTCTACTCAGCATTTTCATTCCGCTAAAAAAACCCTCGAAATATCGAAAATATTGAATAATCATTGTCTCTGGTCTAGGAAAATCCCAAGCGAAGGATCAATTTACCTCAGCATAAAAACAGATGCGTGCGCGGGCACTGACTATGCTGTCAATTACCTGGAGCATGTACAAGCTGTTATTTCCGTTAATGCGACTCGACGTGGTGACTTGGAGCTTTTCCTTACATCACCAATGGCCACGAGGTAATCAATCCCCCCTCAAAATACGATGAAAATAACCTGAATTTGATATTTGCCGGGGGAAATATGACTCCAGTAATAGTATTGATGGACATAATCCCCGAAAGAAGTTATTCTTAGAGACATTGAGTAAAAAAAATTTTGTTTTCCCAGATCAATGATTCTGAGTCGAAGAGTTAATGACGATGATCATCGGGATGGCTTCACAAAATGGCCGTTCATGACGACTCACACGTGGGGGGAGTACCCTCAGGGGACCTGGTTACTCGAGGTAAGAATGAGGAATTTTTTTTCCACAAAAACATCGAAAAGCGACGTGACCTTGCGTCAATCAATAATAATTCCGTTGAATGAATAATGACTTGTGAAAAATCAGTGCATTATAATGAAGAGGGAAAAATGCAGAGAATTTCGGGGATTGCAGATGTAAAATATTTTAACATCTACGTGAACGAAACAAGTGTTCGATTTGAGAAATAAATTACTTTGACTTTTTTTTCAGGTTCGCTTCAACTCTCAGGCACCTCAGAAGGGCTGGATAAAGGAGTGGACTCTGATGCTTCACGGTACGAGGGAGCCACCGTACACTGGATTACCCGCAGCCGATCCACACTCAAAGCTCGCTATTGTGAAAAAAGCACACGAGGAGCGTTCGAGTGCAATGTAACGATCGCCAAAATCATGAGAGAAAGAAAAAAATATGATACAGAGAATATAAATAAAAGGAGAAACAATGGACCGAAAGTCATTTCCGCGCCAAAGTAAAACAGATATCACGACGGAGATACAAAATTCCTCTGCGGAAGGAAAATGTTTATTTATTTTTAGATTGTCCCCATTTTCGGTTGAATTCGTTGATCAATACGTTATGTCGTGTCTTCCTCGGTGATATTAAGTTTACGAGGCACAATAATTCAAGCCTCTTGTGTCTCGTAAACCAATTTAACTCATTCTCAGTTCAAGTTTTTTCTACTGCTTTGTGATGTTTTGTTTGAGACACACGACATTATTAGATTTTTCATCATTTTTTCATTAAACCTTGACGCAAAAATCTACTCTTTCGATGTCTATGTAATCGCACGCGTTAGTATCTGTCTTCATAAAACCAGAAAAACGAAAAAAAAATATGAAAAAATATATAGAGATAAAGATGGATCTGCAACTTTCCTCCTCCATCACACGATCCCCGTGTGACACTTTATTTACATTCCAAATAATTTGTGTCAGCGAATCGCACAAAAGTATCGACCATTGGTTCCATGACTACTCGACACACATTCATTTCAACAGAGAAAACATTTTTTGAGATAGGCCCTACTGGTGTTCGGCAGCCTAAGTACTGTTAAATGGTTCTGGTGACACTGCTGTGATATACACTAACAATGGGAGTTCCTTTATAAACCTCCGCTGCACCACAGCGAAAACCAAATCAATAAATTATTGAATATAAAGTTTCGGAAATTTATTTTCTCTTTGGAAATCCATACTCTTCATCAAAGAACCAATTCAATATTGTATTGAAAGGAGTCGTTACGATACCGAGGATAATGCCCACGAGGGAATTTGAACCCGCAACGTATCAAAGAACCAATTCAATTTATTACTTTGTTCAGATACATATCTCGTGCAAAGGTGCAAAAAGTTGGCTCGATCAGGCGTTGAACATATTGTTGACTACAATTTTTTTCGCCTGTACTAGCCCAAAATTTATATGATGCATGACTTGACATGGAGAAAGTCAAGTTGAAGTTGCATATAGTTTTATTAATCAACAAATAGTCTGGTTTTCAAACAACGGACAGTCAGTATGAATGCGAGTGAATTGATTGCTGACGTTTTCCGAACAGTTCTGACAAGACAGCTCTCCGCTCTATTTCAGGTTTATATTCTGTGAGAAATCAGGTGCGAAGGAATTCTGTAATCTACATTGGGCGGAAATGTTTACGCCGTGGCTGGTCTGAACCCCAATAAGCCCCTACATTTGTTGCATTAATTAATATTTACTATTCTTGTGTTGAGTTGTTCTGCGTTGATTAGTCATGCAACCAAAAATTTGGATCTCTCATTTGAAAATGATCCCAATAAACTAGACTTAGAGACAATTCATATCGAGTATTGAAATAATTTCTCCTTTATTTGTAATTCCTACATTGTGATTCAGCAGAATCATGAAGTGAAGGAAAACAATTGGGAGCAAATTTCAAGAATTTAAAACCGTAAATTTTTCTTAAATCACGTTGAGGAGGAAAAAATGGTAATTTTTCAAAATTCTCCGGCATTTATTTGACTTCACGAGCCACACGGCAAATATCAGTATTAAGTGTTAATTAAAAACAACTGTGAGCTGTAAAACTATGTACTTGTGACCTCAGAAATTATCACCACTATAATCTAAATCAATAAAATCCAATTGATCATGGGACAGAATAGTAAAAAAATAATTCCCTCACTTTAACTACTACTTTGTCTCATGCTCTGACTGATCTGCAAGGAAAATAATATTTCTTCAAATTAAAAAAAAAAACAATTTGTCGATTATTTTCGTTCATCGTCGTCGGTGCTAATTGAATATAACTTTGAGGAATATCAGAAGATGCTCTACTCGATTGAAAATTCATGTGAATGTTCTTTTATTTCAATCCATTAATTTCAAGAAGAGAAATAATATCGAATTAGTGAACAAAAGGGTTCATAAATACAAAGAAATATCGTGAGTAAAAGATGAAGAGATTAAAGTTCTAATGTAGATATTATAGAGGAGTAGTGATTGAGAGTTTGAGATCACGTATTTAAATACATATAAATATATATGAATTATTATAGTAAAAAGTGATGAGATATGGATTTAATCGACCTTATTAAATTAAATTCAATGAGTTGATGATATTTTCCACTAGATTTTTCATATTATTAAGATTATATTATTCTACATTTAATATTTTTCTTTGAAAATATTAAACTTATGCAGTGAGTTATTTATTTCAAACCGTCACAATCATAATAAGGTTGATTAATTCAAAACTATAAGACCAAAAAGAGAACTAAATGATCTAGATCATAATTAATCCCACAAATACCATCATTTGGCGAAAAAACCGAGTGAAAAGGGGAGTAAAAAAATACAACTGATAAAAGATGAAAAATTGCAAGTACCTGGCGCTGTTATTCTTCACTCCCCCCTGTTTTTTCTGTAATAAATTGTATTCCCTCCTGGATCCAATTACCCTGGAAAAGAAAAAGTAAAATATATATTATAAAGTAATGAGAGAATTTAATTACAGAAGTGCGTTAGATTTAACAAAATACGTCGGCCCTGTCGCGGCTATGAGAGATAATATTTATAACAGAATGGAATATAACATGATATTAAGAAATAAGAAAAAGTCTATAATGAAAGAGTGAAATATAAACAAAATCCTTATTTGGAATATTGACTACTTGAATCACCTTTTTCTGAATATTAAAATAATTAATGGCTTCTATGAATAGTTCAAAATTGAATGAATGAAAACCGCCCGAAATATCACATGCAGAACAATAACATTTGAGAGTATCACATGAATAAATATCACCTAAACAAATTCATGATTTAAAAAATCAATAAATAAATAATGGATGGTCAAAAAAAATTTGGTAAAAATAGGAATAGGAATCACAAATTCCTATCAAAAGGGAGAATAGTATTATTCATAGATGAAGAAAAATCGAACGAGACGAATTTAATGCGATGGTATTGTTCATGATATTTTGCCATGTGATATTTTATCGATGATAATTCAACGCTTGATTTTTCACTAGCCAAATGAATGAATCTGGAGTCATCATTTCGCATTCCAAAACCGACGAATCGCGATATCGATCCAGGAAAAGAGGAGCCCAGTGGCACTAAGACCCCTTTGCCCTACCCCCAATTTACATAATTGCATCGACGTTACTGCAACCACTATCCACCGAAAATTTTACCTCATTCCGGCCTCTCTTGTACCAGGTTACACACACACGGAGGAAAATGTGAGCAAGGAAGTTGCCACCAAAGTTCACCTCAACTTCGACCCACCAAGAGTCCATAATCAAATGTTCAATGAGATAGCTAGTAACTTCGCCGATTTGCTAACGATCTCCAGGAGTACGTTTCACCCGTTCCCGTGAAAAAGTAAAATGTTCGAGTTTACGGAGCGATAAAAATGCATGGAAAGCATTCTCAGGGAATTATAATTTCCGAAAACATTGGATTCGTAGTTCTCTTTCGTGTGGAGTGGCTTTCAATACGCAATATGAAATTACGACAATTTGCATGCACTCATTGGGAGCACTCGCAGCTTTGTCACTGGTCCTCTTTTCTTCATGAATATTCATGCTTGGAGGAAGCAAAACGTCGGAAAAAATTTTACGATCTTAGGGGCCCGTGCCAGAAGACATATTCGGAGTGGAATCACGTAATGTGCATAAACTGATGGGTATACGTTTGCTGGGGATGGAGTGCCAGACATATAAAAATTCCCATTTTGTTTTCTGTACCCAGCGGATGGCCGTGTGTGTAAGGGCTTAGACTGGAGACATGAGGGTCGTGGGTTCAAACTCGACCCCTGGCGATTTTTCGCATTTTTTCAAATTCATACTCCCGTTACATGTCAGGCGAAAATAAACTATGAAGTAACTTTTTCGAAGCAATTATTTTTTTCCATTTTCACAATCCAAAATTTTCTACTTCATGTAAAGTGACTTGACATGCATTGTAATGAAGCTCGGACTGGCGCCATGAGGATCGCGGGTTCAAACCCGACCGCCGCCGTTTTTTCACATTCTTTAAACTGATATTCCTGATTATCAGCCGAAAATAAGATATGAAGTAGCCTATTCTCAGCAATTTATTTCCTTTCCTCTTTTACAATCCAAGAATTTCCCCCGTAAATTAGGAATCTAATAACTTGTTCCCAGTAAAAAAAATCAGGTATTCCGTTATTGGAAAATAGAAGAATTCATTAAATTTTCTTTCTTTACAAAAAGTGAGGAACAAATAAAAAAAACCTTATCCGTCAATAAAATCAGTGTTATCACCCGAAAATAAGTCAACACCCCGACCAATTCACCAAAGTAATATTCGACCTACATCCCACCGAAATAAAACAGTTTCATAGATGGGCCATATCGTATGACCGAAATCGATATAATTGCCTTCACTGTATTAATCCTCTCTCCCTGTTTCCTCACTCCCTCCCGATGTTTTCGTTGAAAACGCATAGGATATTGCCAATTGATTAATGCGACCTGGCTCCACCAAAGTCCCCTCTATGGCCTTTTAAATTTTTTACCCCTTTCTCGTTGGATGCAACTGGCCTCTTTCCCTCACGACAGTTTGGCAGGGAAACGAGACATTTAGTCGCGACGCTGAGTTTCATCATCCCCCGATATATTTTTTTTATGCTGTGCCAATTAATCCGACGATTTTAATCATCCCAATTCGCGGGATCGTGCTCAATTTTTTTTAACGAGTGGCAGTTTAAAAAAAGAGATTGGTAATTAAATGAAATTCCAATACCATCTCCATTATCGGAATTTCATTCCCGGTGACATATACCAACTGCAGATGTTTCGGTTTCAAATTGAATGAATTCGTATCATTTTGCACTTTATTGGTTTAATACCCATTCAAATGCTAATATTTTTTCTGTTCCAGCGTAATATGAGAATCTCAGTGAAAACAGTGAATGGAGGAATTGGCAATATTCGAACACTGTTGGAATATTTACATTTCTGAAATTCCTCTCTCATTTCATTGGAAAATATAACAATGAAGGGGTTCTGTATGCATCCCTATTCTCTTAAATTCAATTGTCTCTCATTGTTTTTATTTTATTTCGATATACCAGCGTGGAGGGACTCCATTTCAGTCTCAGTCATATTTTCCGTAGCCATATGTGTGGGCATGGGTGAGTGCTCTTCTATCAACACAAAGACATGGAAAAAAAATTCAGGTGAGATTTTTTCTTCAAGTAAATCCTGACTTCGAGGGTCAGGAGTCTGAGAAGGGCCAGTGAATTCATATGAATGGAAAGGTCAGGTTTATATGGGAGTTTGTGAGGTCGTAAGGGTCAGAATATTCGTGTGAAGGTCACGTAAAGATCACATGAAGGTCCTAAGGGCCATACAAACGTCATAAGGGTCACATAAGGTCAGATTAGTGTCATAAGGGCCTTATAAATGTCATATGAAGGTCGTAAGGGCCACATAAACGTCATATGGAGATCGTAAGGGTCATACAAACGTCATATGGTATCGTAAGGGGTTTGTAAACGTCATACACACGTCGTAAGGGTCATAGAAATGCCATATGAAGGGCATAAGGGTCACATAAGGTCATATTAGTGTCATAAGGGCCTTGTCGATGTCATATGAAGGTCGTAAGGGCTATATAAACGTCATATAGAGATCGTAAGGGTCATGGAAACGCCATATGAAGGGCATAAGGGTCACATAAGGTCATATAAGTGTCATAAGGGCCTTATAAATGTCATATGAAGGTCGTAAGGGCCCCGTAGACGTCATATAGAGATCGTAAGGGTCATACAAACGCCATATAACAATCATATAAATTTCATATGAAGGTCATAAGGGTCAGATAAGACCATATACATGTCATAAGGGCCTTATAAATGTCATAAGAAGGTCGTAAGGGTCATATATTCATCGAAATCGTCTCAGCTCATTGAATGATACAACGATAAAAGGACTAGGTACAGTCTCGTTCTCTTAAATCCTTTGATTTACCATCATGAAAGAAATATATTTCACTCTCTCTTATATTTTCCGCACTCCAATGTCTGTTTGGGACAGATGAGTACTCTTCTATCAACACAAACACATTGGAAACATAAAAAAAAGGGAAACAGCCTGGTACCGAAAGAAATTTACACTCGACATAAACAAAAAGATGTATCGCTGCTTTTCAAGCTGGTGTGCCAGTGGATGCGTTTTGAAATGTCGAGAGTTTGCGCGCAAGACGCAGGGGGTGGGAGTTGGTGTGGGGGAGAGTAAAAAGGCGCCACGGTGGTTGAGTCCACAGCGGCTATCAGTCCGCGTGTTACCCTTCTGGTAGACGTTGAGAGAGAGGTCCTTTTGGCTTTTCGAACCGGTAGTTTTTGGCGTTTTATTTTAGTTCCTTTACTTTATTTTTTTTTACAGTCTCATTTCAACTATGTTCAAGAGTCAGTGATACTTCACTAGTTGGAGTGAATTATTTGTGCAGATTTTTTTTTTAATTTTCTTCTCAGTGGAGTTTTTTTTTTAGAGGAAGGTACACTCTAATCTCCCATTTTCGGGTGTAGAAATTCCCTCATTTGAAATTCTCTCTGGTTAAAGTTTCGCAGCCAATTTTTCGTAGCGAGATATGAGTTGTTTACATTCACTGTGGCATCAATTGACTGTGAGAATCATAAATTTAATCTCTCAAATAGACGAAATTTCTGGTAAAGTTTATTTCTCAGCGTCAATGTGCGAAATCGTAAATCAGGATGATTTTAATGAATCTCGGGGGAGTCAAAGGACTCTCTCATAAATATCAGTTTCTCGTGATGAGAATATCTTAGAGTCCTGGGGCTCTCGAATTTCAAAGCTCCAGAAATTCTCCGAGTATTTTCAATATTCATCATTACCCGGAAAATATCAGGCGAGAGGTTGTTAACTAGAATTGACTGACGTCAGTAGGAGGAATTTTCACTAATGAGTGAATGTCGAGTCAATAGCTTATTTGTGACAGAATGCAATTTCCGGAGTATTTCAAATATTCGTTGCTAACAGCATTTGCATTGAACATTAATCAACCAAATATGCCCATTAAAAATTATTACATTTCACGTCGAATTAATCCCGACTGATGAATCAATATCGCTCGTTAAGATTAATAACCCCGTGAATAAACATTTGCAGATTGACGAGCGTTGAGATGTGAGAGCCAAGGGGCCCCCAGGGGTTTCTCAAAATTAGAAAAAACTATAAAAAAAAAGAACTGGCGACGAACGGTGTTAAAAAACCGCTGGTGGCCAGAGTGCAACGGCAAATGTGGCTCTGTGCACGGTGAGCCAGGGTAACAGGGGCCGCGGGGCCCGTGGTGGGGGTAGCCTGGGCCGTACACGGGGCCAGGCGAGCGTGCGGCTACCCCTGAGTCCGCGCACCCTGTGCGCACCAGGCCAAGTGGCGGGGCCTCAGGCGCCTGCTGGTGGGGCTGGTACTGGTGGCGCGGGTGGGGGCCATGGGCATCAAGGGACCCCCGTACACTCTCAAAATCTCGATGATGCCGCTGATGAGCCAATGGTGCATGTCGAGAGGCCGCAGCAGGATGGCACGTGGATATGCTGTGTACCTTGCTACTGGCTCAGGCGGAGCAAAGCCGTTCACAAGGCACTTCTCACATTTGCCATGCTGCTTGTCACAAGCTTACTCGTAACAAGCCCCGTTCTGTTTCTTATCACAACTCTGCCGGATGGAGATCAGCCGAGGGACTGCGCAGTGCTTGTGAGTATAAAAATATATTATTTACAAATTGCTTGTAAAAATAACCTGTTGAGAATATGTTCAAGGCGGATAACTTCAATGGAAATTGAAATTGCTGCGGTTCATTCTGATGAAATTACTTTGGTTCAAGTGATTTCGGCGGAGTTCTTTGTCAATTGAAAAATCCATTGTTCTTTGGGTGCTCCGAAATTTGAACATTAATTAACCACTTGTGATTACCCCTCCGCATTGAGCTTAATTTGTAGGTTAAATGTCAAAGCGGAGAGGAGACCCGCTTGGTAATGATACCTAATGGAATTTATGCTTTGATGTGATGGAGAGTTGATTAAAAAAGGCATCTTCCTGCTTTATAATTTCCACCGGCCGTGTTTGTACATCCGTCTTTGGATTCATCCTGCTGGGATTCTCCGGGACTGTCATTTACTATTCGAAAGTCGTAGCTTTAAATTATCACCCGGGTTGCGCTCTTATCTCGTGCAGATTCCACTCGGAAATCAATTCGATGTGTTGAGCATATGTAGCCGCTATCATCTCAACTCATGAAGTTTTTATATCCGCACTAGCTCATGAGATCAAAGTGAATGATCATTGAATCTAATTGATTCCGCTGAGAAATTAAATTTCTCCATCTGCATTGGAAGAATAAAATAAACCCGCGAGGAAAATGAAATTTCACTTTGTACTCCACTCGTAGGCGTGCGGTTTATCTAATGGACTTTACGATCCACTGAATTTTGATCGCTCTCCACTGAAGAAAAGACAGCAGAAACGGTCTAAAAATACTGAATATTTAATAATAAAATTGAAACAGCAATAGAACTGATGCTTTGATGTAGGAGAGAGTTGATTAAAAAAGGCATCTTCCTGCTTTATAATTTCCACCGGCCGTGTTTGTACATCCGTCTTTGGATTCATCCTGCTGGGATTCTCCGGGACTGTCATTTACTATTCGAAAGTCGTAGCTTTAAATTATCACCCGGGTTGCGCTCTTATCTCGTGCAGATTCCACTCGGAAATCAATTCGATGTGTTGAGCATATGTAGCCGCTATCATCTCAACTCATGAAGTTTTTATATCCGCACTAGCTCATGAGATCAAAGGGAATGATCATTGAATCTAATTGATTTCGGTGAGAAACTAAATTTCTCCGTCTGCATTGGAAGAATAAAATAAACCCGCGAGGAAAATGGAATTTCACTTTGTACTCCATTCGTAGGCGTGCGGTTTATCTAATGGACTTTACGATCCACTGAATTTTGATCGCTCTCCACTGAAGAAAAGACAGCAGAAACGGTCTAAAAATACTGAATATTTAATAATAAAATAAAAACAGTAACAGAAGATTCTCTTTTAGTTAAAGGTCGTGGATGCTAACTGGGTTAACACCACGTGTATGAACCACTCATGGGATTCAAGCGAGTTGAAAGGATCTGAAAATAGTTTCTTTTTCCATAAAGAAGCGCTTCAACCGAATATTTAAAAACTTCACAAACGAAAAATTCCGCTGGAATCAAAATCTACCGGACCCCTTTTATCTCCCTTTCTGCAACTAAATACTTTTTATGAAAAAAAAATAACAGAGAAATACGGGGGCATGTGTGGACGTGAAAATAATTCATCGTATAAATTTTTCGCCTGTGGAATTGAGTTTCGACAGGTGAAAAATTTATTTCCCTCTTGGTCCTCGGGTATTGAGTGCATCCGAATGTCTGGAGCGAGAGCCAGCAAAAAAAAAGTACTCCCTCCCCACCCCCGAAAAATGGGGGAAAATAAAAATCATAGAGAAAGAGAACGCGGAAGGGGGCATGGGTGGCATTGGTGGATGACAATTGATTTCTCGTTTGCTGTCGTTTCGTTTCGCTTGTCAATTTTGGAATGCACACGCCAATCGTACACAACCGAGTGCCACTCCGTCTCTTAAATATTTTCTATTCCGTTTGGAGGAAAAGAGACTGCACGAGAACTGTATTTTCCCTGCATCAAGCGAACACTTCCATCATTCAGGGCGAATGATTAATGATTAAAAATCACCTCTGGTGTTTATACGAAGTGTCTCGGCATTTTGCATCGTTGAAATATGAATAAAAAAAACTCGCAACAGTGCAATAAAACATGATAATGCATGACGGAACATCATTTGCACTTGTTGCGCGAGTGTGTGGTTTGCGGAAACCGTTTAGACGAAAATATAAAGCGTGTACCACCGGCTGTGGACAACGGTCAGCTCACGTGTATATGGGTACTATTGAAGCCATAGAGTGGTGCAAGGTTTCCAGGCGAATGTCAAGCCATTGGCAGTGATCATGTTCCAGGCACTACTCAACATTTTACGGGATGAAAACTCACATTTGAAGTTCAGATAATATCGTTCTGGGTCAAGGATATTATTAGATGACAAGATGATGCAAAATATCTTGGAATATATAAAAAAAAAATCTTAATGTAAAAAGAATAAAATAAAATCAGCTGAAGTATTTATGAAATGTCTTATCTCATCTGATCTTGCAGATATTTTCCTCAAAACTCTTTTGTCATTTTCTCAAAATCGTTTTGAGATCGGAATAAGTTACATTATTCATCAGTCGAAATAAAAAAGATATGTAATGTTATCTCATCTAATCTCATTTAAGATACGATAGATCTTTGAGATAAGATGACATGAAAAACCCTTTTTCAGTCGCATTTCACGTAATTTCGACGATTAAGATGATTTTTTATCTGGCATCTTAAATTTCGATGAACGTCAGCCCTTAGTTGTCACATGCATCATCAGTTTGTGCCACCATATGCGTCACAATGCCCTTTCCCGCTCCTGCGATACACTACGAGACCGAGATTTCATTACCAAGATGACTCAAGTATTTTGTTATCTCATGCCTCTCGTCTTATAAACTCGCAAAACTTCAGCCCCTCGAATTGTCGTTAACAGTTTCAAGAACATGAATTTATTCAGGCTCTTTATCCAGTGCAGGGAGACTGGATATTACTTCCGTGTTTCCCTGAAATTCCCTTCAACCCGACAATTTATGGATTTTTTCTTTGAGCAAGGGGGGGATTAGTTTCTACAAGACGAAAGATAAATATTAATTTCCCGGATGTGTAATGTTACCAGGACGAGGCTTGCATAAGGGAACGAGATGGGCTCGAGGGTACATGCGAGACAAAGGCTTGCTACGAGGCATCAAAGCGTATGTTAGCATCGATGAATCGGGATGTGGATCCTTGCACCGATTTTTATCAATTTTCCTGCGGCAGCTTTCGGGATAGGGAGCCTCATCAGCCGAGCTCCAGTTTTGGAATGCTTCAGCGTCAAGTCGATCGCCAGATTCGAAGTAAGTAATTGATATTTATGTTGCCATTATTGCGAAAATGAAGACGTTATATAGTAGATTTCATCATAGAAAATATAATAGATTTCATCTATGTTCTGCTTATATGGAAAATTTTATGAGGAAGGTCTTATGAAGGTTACGATTGGGGAGGTCTTATGAAGGTCATAAAAGGGTCATGTGAGGGTCATAGTGAGGTCATATCAAGGTCTAAAAAAGGTCAAGATCAGATAAAGGTCTTATGAGGGCCACAAGAAGGTCGTAAAAAGGTGACAGTGAGATCACATGAAGGTCAGAAGAAGGTTAAGGTCAGGTGGAGTGCTCATGGAGGTCACACGAAAGTCATAAGAGGGTCATAGTGAGGTCACATGAAGGTCAAATAAATCTTAACATCAGATCAGATCAGATGAAGGTCGTAGTGAGGTCATATGAACGTTGAAAGAAGGTTAAAATCTGATGAAGGTCATATGAAGGTCATATCAAGGCAATATCAAAATTAAACACGAAAAAATGCACTCCTACAATCCATTTTGTTCCTTAGCTCATCATTTATAATATTTCCCCGGTCAATACCCCCGAGAACGTGATCCCCTCAGACACGAGTAGGAAAATGTGATTGAGATTCACAGACACGTTTCAACTACCCGAACAATAGCTAATCGAAATTTCATTGAATTTCTCCTGCACCGGTGTCATGCAACAACTCGCTTAAGTGAATCGATGTAACAGCAATCATCTCCACCTTCCTGAAGCACTATCTCATGGGTAACAATGACAACGACTATTTTTGTTAGTGTCGCAGTTTGTCAAGCCTTCCTGTTCACCACTCGGGTCCGCTCATCGTTGATGAGAATGAGGTATTGAAGTTGTTGAGTGAGTGGTGGAGTGGGGATGGGGGGGCTATACAACAGTATCTGAGCGATAATTTCCAGGCGAGTAAAGCGACACCGGGGGGCTAATCAATTCGCGTTGACGAGGCATTTCGAACGTTATAGCATGGCCACCGCGTGGATCCAAAGACTGGTATGGCATCCTGAGTACGTGGGTAGAGTGGTTTGGTTTAGGTACCGACAAATGGGGACTGGGCGAGAGCAAGGGGAGGAGGGGGGGAGGGAGAGTGCATCGACTAACCTACTCCCACACCCACCAGGAAGTGGCGAGGGTATCTTTCAAGGACAAGAGATAGAATTACAGAAGCGGATGGTATTAGTTTTTACCTGCGAGGGGATGATCGATATGCCCCCATGGGAAATAATATGTTTGTGAGGGGGAGGGAATGTGTTGCATATTTTACCTTCATGAATGTAAAAAAACATTTTCAAATATGCGCAGAATTCATGAATTTTAGGATATGATTTTAATGAATGAAAAACAAAGCTCTGATTTTCACATTAGAATGACCTTTCTTTCATGTGGGAATATGAAACCTCAAAAATATCTTGAATGAACTCGATATGACCTTCATAGGGGTCGTAAAGGGCTCAGGTGACCTTCCTATGACCTCCACGGAGGCCGCGAAAGCCCCACGACCGCTACATGAACTCTACGGGAGTTCTTACGGGGTCGTATGCTCTTCATGAAGGTCAACTGGGACTGTATGACCTCCATGTGACCTCCATAGAGGTTATACAGAGGTCAGGTGACCTTTATATGGCCTCCATGAAGGCCAATAAAACCATATGACCGGCATATGAACTCCACGAGGGTCTGGCGGGGTCGTATGCTATTCATAAAGCTCGTATAGGGCGCTATATATGATTCTATGACCTCTATATGACCTTCACGGAGGTTTCATAGGATTATATGCCCTTTATGAGGGTCATAAGGAGGTCAAATAACCTTCATACGGTCCTCAGGGGGTTTTATATGAGTACTAAATGGTCTCCATATCACCTCCAAGAGGGTCTTACAGGGTCATAGGCTCTTCATGAAGGTCAACGGGGACCTTATGACCTCCATGTAACCTCCATAGAGGTTATACAGAGGTCAGGTGACCTTTATATGGCCTCCATGAAGGCAAATAAAACCCTATGACCGGCATATGAACTCCACGAGGGTCTGGCGGGGTCGTATGCTATTCATAAAGCTCGTATAGGGCGCTATATAGGATTCTATGACCTCTATATGACCTTCACGGAGGTTTCATAGGATTATATGCCCTTTATGAGGGTTATAAGGAGGTCAAATAACCTTCATACGGCCCTCAGGGGGTCGTATAGGGTTATATGAGTTCTAAATGGTCTCCATATCACCTCCAAGAGGGTCTTATAGGGTCATAGGCTCTTCATGAAGGTCATCTAGGCGCATACGACCTCCACATGGCCTTCACGGAAAATCACCATCATCACAAAAACATTACGCAATGTTAAAATATACTATATTTCGTGGGGCGCAAAAAAATGAGAAAAATCGAATTTTTACATTATTTATGCCACACATGTTGTGGAGTACCTCATTGTAAGACGGGGTTGCTCGCGGAATCCTCAAACAAGAATTTAAAGACTAAAATTGTCTAAAACTCCATTTTTTCCCAATCCAGAGGATGAAAATATCCTCCAGAAAAATGAAAACATCACTCCATTATTCATGCAAGTTCCCCGCTCTCTTAATGCCAGAAAAAACTAAGACAGATTTGCATGTTGAACATGATAATGCATCAGGCTGATGCCTTCATAGGAGACAGTACCCATGGCAAAAATCCACAGAAAGTACGTTACAAACAAAAATTGTTGGAAATGCGAAACGCAAGCTGCACAGTGGGTCAGAAGCGGGGGGGAATGGCTTTATGTATGACGAGAGTCGAAAAAGAAGTTACGAGAAATAACGGAAGACATAAGATGCAAGTTGGCGCCAGTGTAACGTCTACTTTTTTCAATTCCTCTTTCGTTTTTCTTGCTGATACGATAAGGTCTAGCTCGACGTCCTAATATCGATGAAATTCAATCTGTGTCACGATCCTCATTCGTGATAGAGAGTGCTAAAAAATACATGGAGAGTGGCTCACACTCTTTGCACTGCATTACGAGAATGAAATCGAGTTTCCAAGATTCAAAAACAATTTTTAACAGAGAAATTGTTTGGAGTGAATAAATTATTTGATTTCTAATTTGTATTAGAAAATGATGAAATATGACTTTGAGAAAAAGAGAACGATCGCGCGTTTAAAGACAAATCGTGACACGAAAACCGAAAGCCGACCGAAGTCGAACACGTGCGGGCGGATCCGAATGTTCGACCAATGAAATTCGAGGATTGAGCGTTAGGCTACAGCTTACGGCGTATGTTCTTTTTAGAATAGGATAATGAGGAAATTCTCATCAAAATGAATACTAAAATGCCAAATTTTAGTTTTAAATGGAATTATTGAGTTGAAAGTAAAATGAAAATTATGAAAATTAGTAGAGTATCGGAGTAATGGTAATCCCCAAAGGCCTGTGGAGCCTTGTTCGAAACCCCACGATACGGAAGTCAGCTATGATCCCGGAATATCGAGCAAGAGCGTCAGCGAAGCCCCACAAAAGTCAACTCTTTTTATTTACGTAAGAAAATGTGTTGCACTTTTTTACGGAAAACTTGATTAATCTCCTGAAAACAATGGTTTCAACCTTGCCGAAGGTCACCAGACCTCCGCACCAGACGCTCGAAATAAAGCATCAACTTTTTGTGAGCATTTCCAAGTTTTTCGGTCATAAATGTTAAGTACTCAGCTGCGAAATGTATGAAATTTGTTACCACAGAGATCGTTAATGTTAGTTGCCATGCAGTAAAACCGAGATTTCGCGAGGGGAATATAGCCCGAGTGCTCCAAAAACCTGGAGGGGTGCTATATTTCGGTGCATACATCGCCTTTTGAGGTCTACGAGAGAAAGTTAAGAGTCTTTTACGAGAGAGTGAGATAACATAATTGTGAAAATTGTTCAAAGCCGGAAAATCCTCTTTCATCATTTCAAAAAGAAAATCTGACATCCCACCTCTCGCCTAAATATAGTCTGGAGGCTCTTCAGACATGCATAAGGCCCAGAATGCGGTGGTGTGGACTAGTGTAAGGGTCAGGCTCTCGTATATTTGGTATCCATAGGGGTCGTGAGGGTCGAAAGGGTCAGAATCCCATAAATTCTCCAAAAACCAAAAGGGATGTTATATTCCGTAGAACACACCCATCCTTTGATGCATCCTTTCTGCGATTGAAGTTGAAGATTCTTTCACGACAGACTGAGATAGCACAATCCTAAAAATGTCCAGAGTCGGTAAATCCTCTTTCATCATTCCAAAAAGAAAACTTAACATCCCCCCTCAAAATACAATGCTGTGGACTAATGCAAGGGACAGACTCTCGTGTATCTAGTATCCATAGCGGTCAGAAGGATCTAAAGGGTCAGAATTTCATAAATGCTTAAAAAACCCAAAGGAATATTACATTTCGAAGTTTACGATTCTTTCACGTCAGACTGAGATGACATAATCCTGAAAATTGTCCAGAGCCGGAAAATCCTCTTTCATCATTCCAAAAAGAAAACCTGAGATCCCCCCGCAAATCTCTGTATCTGGTATCCATAGAGGTCACAAGGATCTAAAGGGTCAGAATTTCATAAATCCTTAAAAACCCCGAAGGGATGTCACACGTCGTAGAATACCCCACCCTTTGACACATCCTTCCTCCGATACAAGTTAAAGATTCTTCCACGACAGACTGAGATAACATGATCCTGAAAATTGTCCACAGCCGGAAAATCCTCCTCCATCATTCCAAAAATAAACCTAACATCCCACCTCTCCCCCGAAATAGAGGATTATTATGCGGATACGTCTGACCCCGTTCCTCCGCCGAACACGCCCGGGGATGATGATAGGGTTGAAAAAATGTCGGGCTGATACAAATTGAATCGACCCATTGTGGCAAAGATTCCGCAAATTGTTGTAGATGCCCGAGAAATTCACAGCCCCATTGTTGGATTCTGGGCGTGCGGAGGTCCGGGCAATGTCCCAAGAACACGTGACCCCTAATTATTTTACAACGATTGTTCCCTTTGTCCCTCTGGTCTTCCTCGCCTTCTTCCAACTATTTTATCTCCTCACGTAGCCAACGTAATTGCGTACTTGTTGCTGTGTTGTTTCACATGACGATTGCACAACTTGATGTCTAGGTCCGCTGATGTTCTATTCAAATTAAGCAAGTTTGTATAGGCCCCTTGGGGAGTGACTGTTGAATTTGAGCATCAATTAAACATCCATAAATTCATGAATTTGTGGTAATTCGGGGCCATTACTGGCGGATAAATTCTTCGTAACGGCTAACATGCCGCGTTGACTCATTAATATTCATCGGTATTTGACTTGCGACAATATTTCAAGATATCAATTAATGGAGTGGAGACGAGTCATTAAAGTTTTGGCTCCGGGCAAACGCAAACTTCTCGCCCACTCGATGCTGAAGTGGTTGGCAACGGTGAACCGCACGCTTGTCATATGTCTTTCAAATTTCAACTGTACGAGTTAAAGCTGGGTTTAGTACTCCCCAGACTGCACTTCTCCCTCAAATCCTCAATATCAATGTACATGGTTGGGCTCTGGGTATCGATCACGGAATATGTCAACGGAGCAGACCACCAATCTGTAGTTAAGCCTGCTCACTCATGGCCATTTGACGTTTCGAGGGATAGGGAGAGGGGGGAAAATAGATGATCTGTAATTACCAATTATTCGGTTTGATTCAAGTAGTTTGTGAATAAACACGTATTATTTTATTAATGAGTAATGAGTAATGATTGCGTCTGCAATCATTTCTCGTAACATTGGGAATGAGTAATTGAGAATTATTATGATTTCATTAGATTTTTGATCAATCGATGAATATCAGCAGTGAAGTGGTAAAACGGTTTAAGTCGACTCATCTCCCAGTTGAGTTTTTGATGAATATTCCCGAATGTAAGAGAGATAGCGAAATTTTCGTAATTGCATTTTTTGTAGCTCTCAATCGGCTCTACAAAAAAGGTTATAACAAACATTTTGCCATCGTCCTTAGATTCCGAGATATTCTTTGAAAACTGGCCAATAAACAAAATTGACTTGTACCGTTTTACCACTTCACTACTGATATAATGATAATTATGTAATTATATATTCGTCGATTGATATTTTTGTTAGCAATTTGTCATTAAGTAATTGAAATAAATCATGAATATTATTATTGAATTCATTTGCCGGACGAATGATCAATCACAACAACAAAATATTGATAAACTAGGCCCCAGAGCCATTTACTTTATTCCCCCATGAAAATAAAAACAGATAATAGCACCACCAACACTAGAATACTCCATCGATTTCTAATTTGCCGCTGGCTTTCCACATTACCCCCCTTCGTTTTTTACTCCGGTTTTTATTCAATTTTCCCCACGCGCGTTTTATTCTCGAGTCAATATCTTTTCAGGGTTTAATTCGGAGGTGATCGATGGCATGAGTGCTTCTCAATCGATCCCAAATTGGGTTTTTGTCGGCGGAAAAGTCAATATGCGATGGAATTCCAAATGGCTTTCTTCAGAACCTAGTTTTTTATTTCTCTCGGGTTGCCTTAATTAATCGCGAATTTCGCCATTTGCGGTTTTTATTTTCTCATTCTCTTTGTTTCAGAGACTCTTTGGGGATATTTATAACTCGCATACGGATGATGTACGATGATTCCGCCACTGTGAAACGTCTTAGAGATGTAATAAAATTCGCAATAACTTGTGCACGCGATTTAATGCTGAAGGTGAATCGCGAATTTCGCCATTTACGGTTTTTATTTTTTCATTCTCTTTGTTGCAGAGACTCTTTGGAGATATTTATAATTCACTCACAATGCATTAACCATTGTGTCTTACAGATATAATAATATTTTCAATAACTTGCGCTCGCGATTTAATGCTGAAACCCCCTGAATCGCGAATTGGGGCGATTTTCTGAAAAATCGGGTTCAAATTGGGTTTTTGCCGGAGGAAGAGTCAATACGCGATAAAATTCCAAATGACTTTCTTCAGGACCTAGTTTTTTATTTCTCTCGGGCTGTCGTAATTATTCGCGAATTTCGCCCTTTACGATTTTTATCCTTTCATTCTCCTTGTCTCACTTACGGATGATGTACGACGATTCAGCCACTGTAAAACGTCTTCGAGATATAATAAAATTCTCAATAAATCGCGAATTACCGCGATTTTCTAAAAAACCGGGTTCAAATTGGGTTTCTGTCGGAGGAAGAGCCAACGCGCGATAAAATCCCAAATGACTTTCTTCAGAACCCACTTTTTTATTATTTCTCTCGGGCTGCCTTAATTATTCGCGAATTTCGCCCTTTACGATTTTTATCCTTTCATTCGCCTTGTTTCAAAGACTCTTTAGGGAATATTTATATCTCACTTACGGATGATGTACGATGATTCAGCCACTGTGAAACGTCTTCGAGACGTAATAAAATTCTCAATAACACGCGCACGCGATTTAATGTTGTAGTTGAATCGCGAGTTGCCGAGATTTCCTGAAAATAAGAGCTGCGGCTATTCGTGAACTCGGTTATGCTATAAATATTACCCTTTAATCGATAAAATGAATGAAGTTGGACTGATTACGGCGATATAAATATGTCAAATCTGTGCATTCGTTTATTTGCAAAATCAATTGACTTTTTGTTTCGTGACCAGTCTCGTGATTCTTCATTTCTGGGGTATGAAAATTGTTGGGGGTCAACTCCCCTGTGTATAACCCTGGCCATACTCCGTCTCGGTTATGTGTGTGTTGAAGTATCGACTATGGAATTAACTTGGGGATATACATTCACGAGGGGTTCCTCGCAGACTTAAATATTTACTCTTAAAATCCTGTCCATTTTGTCTGCGAAAATTAATTATGGAATGAATAATGAGACATTCAATTAGCTTAATCGATTTTGCCTGTGATATCTGGACAACAATAATAGTCTTAATGAATTTATCATTGAGAGATCGACGATTAATTTTTTATTGTCATTACATTTTCGTTATTTTCTCAACGGTTAATTAAAAAAATGAGGAGTTCATTTAAATTCAAGACACACACGACACTTGCGGTCCTCCTGACCCTTACGAACGTCAAGAGACATCCACTCACCAGATTCTTCACAGACATCAATATTCTCCTTGAAAATCCTGTCCATTTCATCTCGCATAATGAATTTTTTAATTAACACAGTTAATTTACCCCGCGCTATCCAGGCGATAAAAATACTTCTAATGAATTTCCCAGCGACATCTAACCGAGTTCATCCATAATTTAGAATCTAAAGCCCCTCAAGTTTTCCCCCGAAATGTTGCTTTTCCCGGAGTTGAGACGAAGTACCAGATATATTCCGATGAGATAGCTTAGTGACGTGTCAAAGAAGTTCGACTCGGTTGAAATTGAATTGGGGATGTGGATAGTGGTGAGGTGACTCTACAGAGTGAACGATAAGCGGGAAAATAACGGTGAAAGCGCGTTCGAGGACTTGGAAAACTTTCATGAAAAAAAAAAAAACCCCGACCCCGAGTTAATCTGCGTCACGAATTAAATGAGAGACCGTTAACTGGATTTTAATAATCACCGATGGGTACTTAAAATAGCCCCTCTGACGATGCTCATCATCAATCGCTAATCCCTGAATTTTCACTGAAATGTCATAACCCCTTGGACGAAAAAAAATGTTTCAGAGTTGCTGACAAATGTCACGGGCAAGATGACCGGTCCATTCGAAAAACTGGGACTATTCTACACGACTTGTCAGCAGCACGGTGATCTTGGGGTCGATTTTTCACCAGGTAAGCCTGTCACAATCGATAAATCAATGGGACCTTTGTCCACTTGTCTCGAAACATTAAACAGAAGAGAAAAAAACTACTACATCCCACCGACACGTCGACAACTGCTCGAGTGACGTGGTAAAGGGGTGGAAAAAAAGTGTAGTGGCATGTTAGTGGAAATAAAAAATAGAAAAAAAATATATCCACATAGGCGCAAATAAACTACGAGTCAACGGTATTTTCAGCGGTAACCTCGACATTATTCCATTCGCCGTGGACTAACGAGGGCTGTTTTTAGCCGGTTCCAGGCATGCGGCCTGCAGATTCACCCGTACAACCCCCACCCTCTCGACGCCCATTTCATCCCATGACCATTCAGAAAAATGGCAACAATGTTGATTCGTTTACATGGACATCACTCATAACTGGTAAAAACAGGAGCAAAAAAAATTTCGTCAATGTCCTTTTTTCGGCTCACGTACTCAGAGCTTTACACTTGCCAGGTCATATCAATTATTCATACAATACGTGGGCACACCTGGCCGACAAAGCCCTTGTCAATTTTATGCCGCATCACGCGTCTGATTGACGCATTTCGGATATTTTTTGAATTGTTTTTTCTAGTCGGTTTTTGGGGATCACATCAGATGAGATGATAGATATTTTTTTATGATGTTCCGAGAATTGTTTTTTGAAGATAGGTTGAGATACTGTGTCTTATCCTAGATGATTTTATCTCAAGATCAGACGATAGAAGATAAGATGGACTCTCATAGCACTTTGACCATTTTCATCTCGACGATATTTTAGAGGAATGATAGTTCTCTGGCATTATCTTATTTTAGATCATCTCATCTCGAGTTGAAGTAAGATAAATTTTCCGGAATTCTCTTCAAAACATTTTTCATCTTATTCCTTTTCCCATAGTAAGATGAGATAAAGTAACATGAGATATAATTTCCAAGATAGTGTATCTCATCTCATTTGATTGACGCAATTAAATTGCCCGATTTTTTCATATTCACTTGCCGTCAAAAGTGTTCGAGGAATAACAAATAGGGGGAGGAAAATGAAATATTTTAAAAGTGCAAAAGAAGTTGAGCGAGGAGGAGTTGACGAGAGAATCCTCGGGGAATAACCGGTGGAAGTTTTCAAGAACCCTCACGCAATAAGGAAAAAAGAAAAGTGTTGTTCATTCTTTTCACTCGAATTACTTGCTCTTTTTCTATCATCAGAAAGAAAAAACAAAAATTAAAATTCCGTGGGGATTGCCGGGGTATCTTTAATTCCATCTCCCAAAGAAATTCCCAGTTAAGAGGGAAGAATTAAGATAAGAAGTTGTCCGGACTCGGTAAAACATTTGCTAAATTCAAACAACTTAATTGTCTTTAGATTTTTAATCAATAATTCCAGGATGTGAATGAGATATTATCTACCTCAGAGAGAATTTTAATGGCGGGGTCTTTAAATCAAGATGATTATCTCCTGATGGAAGTGCTTTTACGCTCACCTTTGCAGCCGTAAAAAAGCTCTAAAATAATATCATTAATTCCGCGGGTAATCCTGATTTCATCTAAATAGTGAGATCAGACTAATAACCGGAGAAGAACCTCTCCCGCTCAGAATCCCTCCCAATTTTGCCATGAATAGGAAGAAACCATTCCGAGGGAAAAATATATTTTTTGAACTGCAGCCCGAGGTCAATTTTTTCAAGGGTCAGTAGTTACAGATATCCGGTGTACTGACCCAGCCCTCGGAAGAAGCAGATGGTACAACAGTTTCAATGTTCGAACTAGTGTTCGTACGTGCACGGCCATAAACCGATTCCGCTGGTATAGTTTGCCGCCCGCTGGGGATGATGGAGGGTCCGATTCAATTCCGAGTTATTGGTTCACCTGCATTCTCCCAGATAAACACGTAGACAACCATATTCGTTAAATCAAGTAGCTATTTCAGCTCAAGTCCACGGAATCACGTGACTTTACATTTTGAGAATTTTATAGTGATATCGAAACGAAATTTTTTTTTCTCGTGTTGAAGGGTCACTCCTTTTCACATCTCACGCGGTAACTCGAAGTTTTACTCAAAATGTCGCAAAAGTTTAATGGAATTCACCAGCGCCGCCATCTGTAGTTGACGCTAGATCGATAAATCCTAGTTACCGACTGTGTTTAACGTTCAGGTGGCGCTTAGGTCGTCAATGCCCTTCCCCCACTCTTCGTAATTTCCCCCACTACGCCGCAAAAAGGTATAAAAGGTGAAACAGAGTAGCCGAGCGCATCAGTCCGATCAGATCAGAGATCATGCTTTTATTGACACACCGAACCCCCATCATATCCGAGATTATCTCGTAAAGTATATTCCGGTCCAGGACAATCCCATCAGGTGGCATTTTACATTCTCCATCAAATCAAACAGTTTATTTGAACTCAAGCCCCTGCGATCATATGCCACAGCAACATTCTCTAAATTTTATACCACCGAGCGACGTCAGAGAAAGCCCCTTTCTTTGTACGCGTTTTATGTTAAATTGCAGCGTCACTCCTTTACAATGCGTCGTTAAAAAGCCTGGGTGTATACTCTCCATAAAAAATCCACTATAGTGGAGCCATTTTCCAGGGAGATGCTGATGAAGCCGGAAGTACATGAGCATTTTCCACGTATATGCGAGGTTCATTCTAACTGGTTATCATCCTCAGAACCTGACCTATCAGTCGTTTTGAGGGTATGAGTGGCTCCGACGTCAACGGTTGTATTCAGATTCGCATTTGCATCTCATCCTGCCCCACTCTCCACATCCAAATCTTATTATCCCGCTCTTTCTCTCTGGCAAAACTTTTTCAATCCCATTATCTCAATCAATTTCTCATTCATATTTGTCTTCAGCCTAATGGAGAAAAGACAGATAAATAAGAGTATTCCTAATTCAAATGAGATTATTGCTTTCTCAGACGAAAAATGGTAATCGTAAATTGTTATGAGACTCACGAGTAGGGAGGGCTGTAAATTGAGATTATCTCATTTGCGAGAAAACGTAATAACCCGAACTTGGCCTATAACTGCATAAGGTTGTAAAGTGCATGGGAGTCGTAGCCGAATGCTTTTTGCAGACCAAAAAATTTTCCGCAGACTGTGTGCAACCGCCAAATGGTGGTCCAACTGCAGAACATAATACCACTACAAACTTATTTCCAGAATGAAGAAGAAAAAGAATATAATGCGAGAAAGAAACAAGCGGCTGGCTTTCTGAACGTGATTAACACGTAGTAGTAGTAGTTCTTTGTTTTAAGAAATTTTGTAAAGTCCATCGATAAAAAAAACTCCAAGATCCGCCATTTCGATAATGTTTAAAATGATTCCAACCTTGTGCACGCAATAAAAACTTGGCACATTAAAATCGGCCGATGTAAAGCTCTTGAGGGTTAAAAATCTCGAGGAGAAGAAGCTTCGCGTGATTCTGAGGCTTTAGCCATCGAAGGCGCCGACCCACTTGTATATTACCTCTTTCCAAGAGCTTTTGTCCGAGGAACCGCAGAACATCGAAGGTCAACCCCTACTTAACCTCCTCGCCCCCCCTTGTACTCAACGATAATGCCCGGTAGAGCGAAATAAAATGGCGTGAATGCTCTGCGAGGGGGGACCTAAATCCTTAAACGTCGGTGCCAATTAACTCCGCCAAAACGATTAACGCGTGAGATACCATCCCCTTTAGCTGGTTCGAAACCTTGAGTCGTATATCACGACAACGCAGATTCAGATTTATGGAGCACACACGTATTTGGGTGATTTATCGGTTTTTGGAAATTTTTAACATTTGTATTTATGGAAGGTTTGATAGTTGAATAAAATGTTTGATAGAAATACAATTTGTCGAGGATTTCTCGAAATTTTGAGTAGCCGCACAAGTTGGCTAGATTTTTGAGCGGAGATGTGAGCCTCGGCTCGAGATCACGCTCAAGTTTTGGTTTGAGCTCAAGTTTTCACTCGAGCCACAGCTCAAGATTAGGATCATGTAATCGCTGAATTTTTGACTCAGAAATTATCGCTCAAAATTCAATTCAAGAAAATGAAAATCAAGTCTCACCTTGTTCCGGCTCAAGATAGCTCAGAAGTCGATTTCCGTCATCTCTCAAGGTGCATCTCAAATTTTTCTTTAAAAACTGCATCAATATAGAACCACTCCCTAAAAGGTTGTATTCGTCAGCAACATCATACCCACAAAAAACTCACAAAACCTAGAAAAAAAGACCATCTGTCATGCATCGCGGTTTTTGTAGAATTGAATTTGCGGTAAAAAAATACTCACAACTGCTCCATTCGGGCTTGCAAATACACAATGAGTGGCCACTGGTCTCTGTGACCAGGAAATACCGGCATTTCCGTTTGTGCCCATCGACAGCAGTTTTCGTATTATGTCCTCACTTTTAGCTTGATTTTTCCAGCATTGAAAAAAATTCGAAAAGCCACGGAAAACCCCTCTGTTCACAGTTGTATATTCATTCCAAGTCCTCGAGGCGCGTTATATAAAAGCCCACTCTATTTACTATCATATCATCTACCCCGACTATCTCCAATATTCATCGCATAAAATTACGATGAAAAAAACGTTGTATAAACGGATAATAAAATTTGATTGCAGTTTATAAGTTGCTGCAGGAATTGGGTGGATACTTATCACCAAGAGTATCAGCACCATCGGACATAACTCCACTCGTCTCAACATTATTGCAGGTCAACGGAGCGCCGTTATTCGATCTTTATCTGGATGTTGATCTTTACGATCACTCGAGAACATCTGTATTTCTTGATCTGCCCGCTAACAACCATCCCGAGGGATTTTTCACAGCAAAACAAGTGAGTACTCTGTCAATACAACAAAAATAATCCTCATTGGCCGTTTCCAAGTCATTGAGTCCATTCAAAACTCCCTCGAACTACGTTTTTCCCAAATATCTCGCAATATTCGGGAGGATAGAATATCGCGTTGGAAATGTGATGCTGGAGGATGGTGAAAATGCCACTATTGAAATACCCAAGTGGAGTCTCGATCTCAAACGATACAAAACCTCATTCCGCTCCAGAGCTCATCAAGGTGGAAGAGGAAATCCTGTCCTCCTCCCGTCAGAAGCTCCTGTTTCTAAATACCCCGAGAAATGCTGGAGCTTTTTCTTTTTATGGGTGTTGTTCTGAAGCTCAGCGTTACTTTTTCATTATTATCATGTTGTGATTCCACCTATAATTCTATTTGTTTCTAAAATTACGAGTCACTGTGTCAAGTTATTGCTCAAGTTTCGGCTCAAACTTGAGCTCAAGGAACTTCTAAAATTACGACTTTGATTTTAGCTCAAAATTTCATTCATGTTATGAGTCTCCATGACAAATTATAATTATAACGTCAATCCACTCCAGTGTTCCCTCAAGATAGAGGAGAAAATCCAGTTCCATACCCATCACAAACTCCTGTTTCTAAATACTCCAAGAATTGATGGAGCTCGGGTCGTACCTCAAGGCCATTAAAGGTACCCCGATTCCCCAGGCCCTGGAATTAAAATTCAATGTTCACACTGAATTTGGTGGGTTGAGAGGCATTGGAAGGCATCGACCACTGACTTTAATTACCCACAGCCAAATTCTCAAAGTGTAATTACTCGGCATTAGTATGAGTGAAAATCCGCTCATTCCCGCGTAGATGTGAAGTACCGTGGAATACCGAGATTTCCAAGCGCCAAGGAATTAATTGGAGTGGAAGAAAAACGATCCTGTATCCATCGACGTGTGTGCGACCGGAAACGGATGGAGAGAGATTTAACGGAATTGAGTAATATCTTTGAAACCCGCGCGTCGATCTCCAATCCCTCTACCCCTCCTCCCCTCTCAGTCCCCCCCCCCTCCTACATTCGGTGGTACACACATATAACTCTTTCAACATTTTTCCAATCTCTGTATTTTCTCAGCTTCCGGAGCGATGCTAAAAATACACTCTCCTAATGCGCACACTCTTTTATGTCTCTTTTACTGTGGCATAAAATATCTTTTGAGTTTGGGTTTTTTTTACCTCCGCAAACCCGGGGTTTACATTTTATTTAATTGACATTCAGTACACTCGCATTTCTAGTTATATATATGGGATTGAATTTCCTGACAGGAGAGGAAATGAGATTTTCCGCTTCTGCCGTATTGAATGTATCCCATGCACATTCATTTGCAATTTTATTTGAAAAATGGAATGATGTTGTAGGCACAAATATCACAAATATATTTCCTGAATTGGGCAAATTCAAAATGGTTAATAACTTGGAAATATCATACGGTGTGAGTGACTTTTGCGAGAACTAGCTCAAAAAAATTATTTCATTAGAATTAATTGCTTTGAAATTAACTTCATACTTTTGGAAAAATAATCATGTAGAAATTTATGGGTCCAAGAATATTTTGCACTCCACGTCACTCAAATGCTCAAGTTATCGCTCAAGTCTCAGTTCGAGCGACGGCTCAAGTTTTTACTCAAGTTTTGGGCAAACCCACACCTCTTGAGCAGTCTCTTGAGCCGAAACATGAGTCAGAACAAGTTTCGGCTCAAGGTGCCGCTCAATTTTTTGTTTGAGCGGCTGCTTCTGCTCGAGTTCACTCAAGTTCTAACTCAAGTTCCAATTATGAACTCAAAGCGAACAAGAATGAGACAAAGTGTTTGGATCCTATCAAAATTCTTCAACTATTTACAATCAATGTTCAAAATGAAATAATTTATCTCGCACGAAACAAATTATGTCCTTGAGCCAACTCTCTGAGAATAATTTTTCCCCCAAAAACTTTCCATTGAAATTACTCCATTATGAATTCCCCCCCGACAACCAGAATGTTGATGAACATCGAAAGAAATTCAGTTGAAACTCCTGATGAGCGAATACCACAAAAGGTTCTCCGTAATCGATTGAAGGTGAAACTTCGAAACTAGTTCCGACGTCAAGATAAGAGAAAAGAGAATAAGGAGAAAAAAATAACGAGAATTCGTTCGACTACACGAGTCTGAAAACTTTGGGATTATTCTTCACCAGTCTTTAACCAAAAGTTGAGATAGGGATAGTTGTAAGATATATTATAGTACTAGTTGTACATGTAAGCAATGGGCAAGCTTACTCCGAGTATGTACACAGGCTGTCCACTTGACATTCTGAGACCTTTGTACTATCCCCACTTAACGTGCACCGAGAGCACGTGAGAGAGAACAAGGGACGATTCTTAAATAGTTGAAGATGGTTATCTTTCTAGGGGGTGGATG